AATTTACTGTAATTCCTTTGTTTTAGATATTAGAATCTGAGGGTTAAAGAGGTGAAGTGATATTCCCAAAGCCAGAGCTGGTGTGTGAGTCCAGACTGTTGTACTGGTTGTGCTATGGTTTGGATGTGTCCACTAAAGTTGATGTGTTGGAAACCTGATCCCTAATCTGTGGTGTTGGGAGGCGAGGCATCATGGGAGGAGCTGGGGTCATGGGGACACTGCCTGCACGAATGGATGGATGTGCGAGTGGGATCCTTATTAAAGGACAAGGCAGGCTCCCTCTTATTCTCGTTCTCTCTCTCCCTCCTTCCCTCCTTTTCCGTGTGATGCATTCATCATGTTACAGCCCAGCAGAAAGGCTCACGCCAGACGCGACGCTCACGCCAGACGCGACGCTCACGCCAGACGCTGTTGCCTTGATCTTGGACTTGCCAGACTTTGGAGCTGTGAGGAAATAAATTTCTGTTCTTTATAAATTACCCATTCTTGGGTATTCTGTTACAGCAGCACAGACCAGACTAAGGTTGCATGCATAAAGAATGATTCCTACTCTAATGTGCCACTGACTGTCCCATGCTCTCTACTTTTTTTTTTTTTTTTGAGAGAGAGCCTTGCCATTATCCAGGCTGAAGTGCAGAGGCATGATCTCAGTTCACCCGCACCTTCCGGGTTCAAGCGATTCTCCTGCCTCCGTCTCCTAAGTAGCTGGGACTACAGGCATGCACCACCAAACCCAGCTAATTTTTGTATTTTTAGTAGAGATGGAGTTTCATCATGTTGGCCAGGTTGGTCTTAAACTCCTGACCTCAAGTGGTCCACCCATCTCAGCCTCCCAAAGTGTTGAGATTACAGGCATGAGCCACCGCGCCGGGCCCCACGCACTCTGATTTTATTACAGGCGTGAGCCACCGCGCGGGGCCCTGCGCTCTCTGATTTTATTACAGGCGTGAGCCACCGTGCCGGACCCCACGCTCTCTGATTACAGGCGTGAACCACCGTGCCGGACCCCACGCTCTCTGATTACAGGCGTGAGCCACCGCGCTGGGCCCCGCGCTCTCTGATTTTATTACAGGCGTGAACCACCGCGCGGCCCCGCGCTCTCTGATTTTATTTTCTAAATTGTGTATTACGGGTTGAATTACATCCCCCCGCAAAAATCCATATGTTGAAGTCCAAGCCCTAGTACCTCAAAATGTGACCTTACTGGGCAACACAGTCACTGCAGATGTAATGAGTTAAGATGAGGTCATTAAGTCGGGCTCTAATCCAGTATTGGGACTGGTGTCCTAATCAGGGAAAATTTGGACACAAAGACGGACATGACAGAGGGAAGATGATGTGAACAGGGCGAAGGCCGGCTATAAGCCAACAAGAGGCCTGGACCAGATCCTTCCCTCAGAAGAAGCTAACCCTGATGACACCTTGATTTTGGACGTTAGTCTCCAGAACTGTAAGACAATGAATTTCCGGTAAGTCTTGGAAAGTAAGTCTTCCGGTAAGGCTTGGCTACTTGATTACAGCAGCCCCAACAAACTAGCAGAGTATTCAACACAGCTCTGCAAAGGCAGCTTTGATGTACAGCATACAAGTAAAAAGCATTCATTATCTCGTTCATTCATTATCTCGTTCATTCTCTGTTGGCAACGGATTTATTTTTAAGACAATTTCCTGAGGTATTCCTGAATTTCAACCAGTATCCTGTCCTAACTGCAGAAGGTCGCAACAGCCAAGGCGGCCTCCATGAGGAGCCAGGAGGAGCCTATGCTCCTGTTCATCACCTGGTGTCTACTGTCGCTGTGCAGTCCTGACACGGCCCTGTTCCTCTTTCCTCCTGCCTCCTTCCCTTCCCTTGAAGTGCAAGGTACAGACTGTTGAAAGCTTACTAGCTTTCAGTAAAATTTCCCAAGCATCAACAATGTGATGTCAGAGTTCCCTCGTAACGCTGTGTTTCCATGGAACAGAATCAGCTTCTCTGTGAAGCTCGGCAGACAGTGTGATTTTACTGCGCACACATCATCATGGTTATTAGTATGGATGTTTTAGGCCAACCAATGCAAAGGACAACTGTGCACCCATCTAAGAGATGGGTACTATTATGGGCGTAAGAAAAAAACTGGATTGCTTTAGATCAGTAGGTCCCCCAAGCCTGGTTACCCATTACAATGATTCTGAGAACTCTTAAGAACTAGAACTCCTTCTCCTCCTTCTGGTATTCGAAGGTTTCCCCAGTCCAGTCCAACTCACACCTCGGCCTCTCTCCCTCCTCCCGTACCCCACCCCACAGTCCTGACAGGACCAGGCCTGGATCACACCTGCCGTTTATCTCAGTATGGCTGTCCGGCTGCTTCTGCCCATGAATACTGCTGCTGCCCCTCTTCCCCCAACTAACCAATCACAGTCCCAGCAGAACTTACAACAGTGTTTTGCAAACTTCAGCCATTCCCCTGCTAACTGTACTGTCAATATCTTAGTATTTTTATTTAAATCTACCCATTGTTTCTAGTTAATTTTAACCATTAACTTTATTATTACTATTATTTTTTGAGATGGAGTCTCACTCTGTCGCCCAGGCTGGAGTGCAGTGGCACGATCTTGGCTCACTGTAACCTCCGCCTCTCAGGTTCCAGCAATTCTCCTGCCTCAGCCTCCCGAGCAGCCAGGATTACAGGCGCATGCCACCACAGCCAGCTAATTTTTGTATTTTTAGGAGAGATGGGGTTTTGCTATGTTGGCCAGGCGGGTCTTGAACTCCTGACCTCAGGTGATTCACCCGCCTTGGCCTCCCAAAGTGTTGGGATTACAGGCGTGAGCCACCTTGCCCAACCTAACAGTTAACTTTATATTCCTAGGATAAATATATAAAAACAGTACTCTTTGCCATAAATATGAAGTTACCATAAAAATGCAGAGAATACCAAACAGTTTTGTTAGATCCTGCCTGCTAAAGCTCTGAGCTTAAAGTCTACTTTCTTAGGCAGTCAAAAGAGTGTTACAGACATATGAGGATCAAAGGGAGAATTTCTCCTCAAAGCAAGCAGAAGGTCTGAAGGATAGCAAAATGGGCGTCACTGTCCTGCCAGACAACTCCTTACAGAGACACCCAGTGCCTGGCTGTGCGCCTCCCCAGGGCAGCACCGCTACCACCAGCAATCTCTCCATCCCTGGGAGTGCAACCAATAACCATGCTCTTCCTTTGAGGCCCAGAACAAATGCCCCTCCCTTTATAAAGCCATTTCTCACCAGCAGACTAAAGAAGGTTCTCTGGCCCCTTAATGCCAGTATCTTTACCATCTATTTGGTACCTGGCCTCAAAAAGCAAAGTAGAGCATGATGTTTCCTATAACTTATGATTCCTGCAGGACCGCAATCTCCCTGAGCGCAGGAACCGTGTCATCCACATCTTACTTTCCCTTGGAATCTATGTCATCATCTTAATACGGGAGACAAATACTTCTGGCTGAATATCAACCGATTCCCAAATGTCTTCTTTGAATTTCTTTTCTTAAAAGAAAGCTTAATAAGACAGACTCCTCATTCTAAGAAGCCTTTATTCACAGTCACCCCAAAGTGGACACAACTCACCGCCCGCACTGACCTCTTCCCCACTCACCTCTGCCTGCCTCTGGGCCTAGACAATGGCAGCCACCCAGTGTCCTCCTCCACAGCTAGGATTTTTAGAATAAAACTAATGCACATCCCATCTGGCTTAAAGCTGCCTTCTGGCTTCCTGCTGCTCTTAGAATAAAATCTGTAAGCCCCAATGTGGCCCCCAGACCCTGCATGAGATAACTCCTGCCTAACTCTTCAATCTCATCTATTCCCCTTGCCAGCCCTCCATTCTCACACTTTCTGTTTCCTGAACTCGCAAAGTCCTCTATCACTTCTGAGCTTTTGCACATGCTGTTCCTGCTGCCTAAGAGGCTGCTACTCAGGCTGTGCGCAGCTGGCTCCCTTGTGCCCTGCAGGTCTCAGCTCAAACCTCCAGAGATGCCTCTGCCAACCACCACTATGCCAGCCTCTCTCCCTCCAACACATGGCCTCATGTCTTTCCTTCCTAGCATCGGTCACAATCGAGTCTGCCTTGCTCATCTAGCTGGGTGTCTCTCTCTCTAATCAGGATGTGGGATGCAGGAGGGCAAGGGCCTTCATGGATCTTCTTCAGCATGCTATCCCACAGATCAGTGCCTCGAAGAGGCGCTGGCCCCTAACCGTCACTTAGTGAAAGCTGCTGGCTTTCCCAACAGGGAGCAACCACACAGTGGGGAGGGGAATGAAATACAAACAGGGTTGATACAGGCAAAATACAGTTGGAAGCTGCTGGCATCCATGACATTAAATGAAGCAGCACGCTTTCGATGGGTCAACAGTACACCCAAGACACACACACATTCTGGCTTCAGCAGCAGCAGCAGCGCCATTAAAGCAAAGCATCAGTATTTCCTCTACGTGAGCTGAGGCTAGCTCTCATGTCTAGTTACTTGCCAATCATGCGAGTATTTACTGAGGGCATGCTACATGCCCTGGAGAGAATAAGTCCTGCGGATAAAGAGATGAACAAGCCTTGTTTCCTACCCTCGAAAACTAAGTCCGGTGGGGAAAGAGACACACGCATATGCAACTACATGACGATGGGAGGAGTGAGATAACCAGGTGCTTGGGGAGTGGAAGGAGATTTAGCACCAGGGAGTCACAGAACAAGTAAGAACTATAGAACTGAGGCTCACGGGGAGCAGGCTTTCCAGGACAGCAGGTCCACTAGAGGAAACTGAGGCAGCGGCATGTTCAGGAAACAGCCCTTAGGTGGTCTGACCCGGACTGGCAGGCAGTGGTCAGGTGATAAGAGGTCACTGGGGTCTGTAATCCAGCAACCAAGAGCCATGGAAGCAGAAAAGCAACTTATGAGAGCTGATTTCAGAAAGAACAAATGGAGGGAAAGAACCCTAAACCATCTGATTCCTCAGCTACGGAGAAGGAACAAACGGTATATGTCAGGAACTCACCGTGTGGCAAACTTCCGCTTTTATCTCTTTCAAGGCTCGCTCAGAAAACACACAACCGCAGCACCGAAGGAAGCAGAACCTGGAGAAATAACCCAGTGGGGAAATGACTGTATTAATCACATGATCAACTCACATTTATTCGGTTGATACAAAGGCCACGACCCACAAAGATTAAAATGGTTACATTTCACTCCATTAAAAAAAATCAGTACGTTCTCATAGAAAAGGGCCAGAAAAAAAAGAAAGAAATCAGTTATATACAAAATTAAAAAAAGATCAAAACTGAAACCACAACCATAAAAAGTCAAAAGAACAGGAACTCAGGGAGGAAATATTTCCAATAAATATAAGATTCAGAGCTTATTTTATGAATATTCAAAAAGGTCTTAGCAACAGCCAACATCATAATAGAAAAATGGCCAAAGAGGACTAACATGCAGTTCACACAAAAAATATATAAAGACCAAAGGATTCTTAACCTCAAATGTTAAAAGAAATGCCTTTTAAAACCATGACACATCAATTTTTTATCTATCGGGCAGTAATTCAAGAGCTTGGGGCTGGGCACAGTGGCTCACACGTGTAAATTCTAGCGCTTGGGAGGCCAAAAGTGGGAGGATCACGTGAGGCCAGGAGTCTGAGATGAGCCTGGGCAACATACTGAGAATCTATCTTTTTTTTTTTTTTTTTTTTTTTTGAGACGGAGTCTCGCTCTGTCGCCCAGGCTGGAGTGCAGTGGCGCAATCTCGGCTCACTGCAAGCTCCGCCTCCCGGGTTCACGCCATTCTCCGGCCTCAGCCTCCCGAGTAGCTGGGACTACAGGCGCCCGCCACTGCGCCCGGCTAATTTTTTCTATTTTTAGTAGAGACGGGGTTTCACCATGGTCTCGATCTCCTGACCTTGTGATCCGCCCGCCTCGGCCTTCCAAAGTGCTGGGATTACAGGCGTGAGCCACCGCGCCCGGCCGAGAATCTATCTTTAAAAAAAAAACTTTTAAAAAACTTAGCCAAGTGTGGTGGTGGACTCCTGCAGTCCCAGCTACTAGGGAGGCTGAGGTGGGAGGATGGCCTGAGCTATGATAGTGCCACTGCACTCCAGCCTAGGTAACAGGGACAGATTCTGTCTCTTTTAAAAAAAAAAAGAAGAAGAAGAAGAAGAAGAAAAGAGACTGAAAGTATCCAGCTGGAAACTGAGGACACAGGCGCATTTGCTGTCAGGTGGATACAACACAGTACAATACTTTATGAAGTCAATTTGGCAGTACCAAATAAAGTGTGGCTTTTAAGAATTTCTCCTGCAGAAACATGCCCACAAGTGTGCAAACATACAAATGTGTATCTAGGAAGTTGTGTAGCATAGCAAGGTAAAAAGGAAAGGAAGGAAGTCACCTCCATGTTTCTCAGTAGGGAAATGGTCAAATAAATTATAAACACCCAAACAGCTATTAAAAAGAAGGTAAATCTGTACTCAAGGTCACGAAAATATGTCCAAGGTAGACAGGGTAGAAGGAAAAAGAGATGTTATTAAAAACATATAATGTGACCCCATGATAGTTTGGGAAGAATATATGTTGATTTCTACGTCTATATGCAGAGGCGTGGAGAAGCGTGGATGTGGGTGTGTGGTGGGGGGAGGGTGGCATTAAACAAACAACGAATAATGCCACCACCATGGCTGGAGAGCGGCATAAAGCACTTTCACATTTCACTTTAGGCATTCCTTGAAAAACGCCACAGGACAAATTTTCTCTAATTTCCCGGGGATTATAGCAGACGCAGATTTGCCTAACCAAAATCCAGCTCATAACACTGCACTAAATTCACTGAATGTTGTTTAGAATTTTTAAAATCCTATTTTATAGATACTTACAAATTATTAATTAGGAAGCTATTTTTCTTTTTACAAAGGCCCAATGTTTTTATTACAGTAACAGTTTATTTCTACTTTTCTATATATTTAAATCTTCATTATACAAACTTTATTAAATACAGCTGGTCCTCTATACCCACGCGTTCTGCATCTGTGAATTCAACCAACCTGGATCAAAAATCTTTGGGAGGAAAAATGAATGCATTTGTACTGAACGTGCACAGACCTTTTTCTTATCATTATTCCTCGAACAATACAGTATAACAACAATTTACACAGCATTTATACTGTATTAGGTATTATAAGTAATCTAGAGTTGATTTGAAGTATACAGGAGGATGTGTGTAGGTTATATGCAAATACTGTACCATTTTATATCAAAGACCTGAGCATCCATGGATTTTGGTATCCACAGGGGATCTGCGAACCAGTCTCCCACATATATCAAGGGATGACCATATACAAACTAATCCAATCATCAATTTCAAGTGTGGAGGCTCTTATCAATAACAGATGGACAAAGTCAAAATAAGCGAAGCTCAATTCATTGGGTAAGAGAAAAAGGAGAAGAGACTGACCAGCAAACCAAAGGAGAAACAACAGAGGAAGCCACAATCAGAGCAGCAGGCTGCAGGGGACTCCTACTCGAGACCCCACTGTGGAGCTCGTTTCTGCTAAGTTCCTCTTCTGGGGTGAGCAACAGTTTTCTTAAAAACAAGTGGGAAGCCAAATACGAAAGGTTACATATTGTATGATCCTATGCATATGAAATATCCGGGAAAGGTAAATCCATTGAGACAGAAACAGACTGGAAATGGGGAGTACCTATGCAGTGGGCAGAGGGTTTTCCTTTTGGGGTGATAAAAATGTTCTGGAACCAGATAGAGGCGGTGACTGTACAACACTGTGAGTGTACTAAATGCCACTGAAACATAGACTTTAAAATGGCCAATGTTATGTGACTTTTGCCTCAAATACAAACACATATATGTGTATGTGTATATATATATATATATACAGGCACGCGCGCGCACACACACACACACACACACACACACACACACACAAGTGGGACATGGTTAGGTAAATGAGTCTGGTTCCCCAGAATATGTCCTATTTGACCCCAATGGTGGTTTAGAGAGGGCCCTAAATGGTTTAAATTCAGATTATTTGAAGAAGAGTGTAGTATTTAAAAGCAAAAGTCCTGGGTCCTAAACTGTACTTCTCTCCAAATTCATGAAGCCCCTAGTTGTTGCATTTCAGAACAGGACAGTTAGTTGCCCTGGCAGAGTCTGCCACATGCAACGTTCCTTGGCACACTGAGAGGGTGTCCACGTACCCCTGTTAAATAAACGGACACCAATGGGCCAGAATGCTCAAGATTAAATACTGCTGGTTCAATAAAACCATTCTTATTCGAGATGCTTTGCCCCACCCCTTTCCTGAATGAAAGTAGTAAAAAATGCTACCTTTCAATATGTCATGTGTTTGATAGAAGATTCCAGAGGGCAGTCTGGACTACCAGCTACTAAGGATACAGGCATACCTTGTTTCATTGCGCTTTGCAGATACTGTGATTATTTTACAGACTGAAGGTTCACGGCAATCCTGCATCCGGCAGGTCTGTCAGCATCTTCCCAGCAGCATGTGCTTATGTCATGCCTCTGTGTCACATTTTGGTAATTCTCAAATATTTCAAATGTTTTCATGATTACTACATCTGCTATGGTGATCTGTGCTCAGTGACGTTTGATGTTACTTTTGTAATTGTTTGGGGTGCCAGGAACCACACCCATAAAAGATGGTGAGCTCAATTAATAAATGTGTTCTGACTGCTCCATGAACTGGCCATTCCCCCACCTCTCTCCTTCTCAGTTCTCCCTATTCCCTGCGACACAACAATATTGAAATTAGGCCAACTGAGAACCCTACCATGGCCTTTAAGTGTCCAAATAAGAGGAAGAGTTACATGTATCTCACTTTAAATCAAAAGTTAGAAATGATTAAGCTTAGTGAGGAAGGCAGGTCCAAGATCGGCCAAAAGCCAGCCTCTTGAACCAAACACTTAGCCAGGCTGTGAATGCAAAGGAAAAGTTCTTGAAGGAAATTAAAAGTGCCACTCCATAAACACAGGAATGGTAAGAAAGTGAAACAACCATATTGCTGACAGGAAGAAAGTTTTAGTGGCCTGGACAGAAGATCAAACTAGCCACAGTGACAGATCCTTAAGCCAAAGCCTAATCCAGAGCAAGGCCCTAACTCTCTTCAATTCTAGGAAGGCTGAGAGAGGTGAGGAAGCTGCAGAGGAAAAGCTGGAAACTAGCAGAAGTTGGTTCATGAGGTTTAGGGAAAGAAGCCGTCTCCATAACATAAAAGTGCAAGGTGAAGCAGCAAGTGCTGATGGAGAAGCTGCAGCAAGTTCTCCAGAAAATCTAGCTAAGATCATTAAAAAAGATGGGTACATTAGACAACAGATTTTCAGAGTAGATAAAATAGTCTGTGTTGAAAGAAGATGCTACGTAGGACTTCTACCGCTAAAAAGGAGAAGTCAATGCCCGGCTCCAAAGCATAAGGACAGGCCAACTCTCGCTAAGGTCTAACGTGCCTGGTGACTTTCAGTTGAGCCAACGTTCATTTACCGTTTGAAAACCCTAGGGCTTTTAAGGATGATGCTAAGTCTACTCTGCCTGTGCTCTCGAAATGGAAGAACCAAGCCTGAATGACAGCACATCTGTCTATAACATGGCTTACGGAATATTTTTAGCCCAATGTTGAGACTTACTGCTCAAAAAAAAAAAAAAAGATCCCTTTCAAAATATCACTGCTCATTGATAATGCACCTAAGTCACATAAAAGCTCTGATGGAGATGCACAAGGAGATTAAAGTTATTTTCATGGCTGCTAACACAACCACCATTCTGCAGCCCATGGATCAAGGTGGAATTTTGACTTTAAAGTCTTATTATTTAAAAATACATTTCATAAGGCTATAGCTGCCATAGCCTTCTTCTGCCATTCCTCTGATGGATCTGGGCAAAGTAAATGGAAAACCTTCTGGAAAGAATTCACCATTCTAGATGTCATTAAAAACATCTGTATTTGGCTGGCTGTGGTGGCTCATGCCTGTAATCCCAGCACTTTGGGAGGCTGAGGCAGGCAGATCATCTGAGGTCAGGAGTTTGAGACCAGCCTGGCCAACATGGTGAAACCCCGTCTCTACCAAAAATACAAACATTAGCCGGGCGTGGTGGCGGGTGCCTGTAATCCCAGCAACTTGGGACGCTGAGGCAGGAGAACTACTTGAATCCAGGAGGTGGGGGTTGCAGTGAGCCGAGATTGTGCCACTGCACTCCAGACGGGGAAACAGAGCTGAACTCCATCTCAAAAAAAAAAAAAAAAAAGAACAACTGTGATTCATGACAGGAGGGCAGAATATCAACATTAACAGGAGTCTGGAAGAAGCTAGTTCCACCCCATGGATGACTTGGAGGGTTTCAAGACTTTAGTGGAGGAAGTAATGCAAGTGTGGTAGAATAGCAAGAGAGTGAGTTAGAAATGGAGCCTGAAGATGATGGAATTGCTGCAATCTCATGATAAAACCCAAATGGATGAGGAGTTGCTTCTTATGGATGAGCAAAGAAAGTGGTTTCTTGAGATGGAGTCTGCTCATGGTGAAGATGCTATGAATATTGCTGACGTGATAGATCTGAAATATTACATAAGCTTAATTGATAAAGTAGTTGCAGCGTTTGAGAGAATTGATTCCAATTTTGAAAGGTATACTATGGGTGAAATGCTATTAAACAGCATCACATGCTACATACAGAGAAATCTTTCGTGAAAGTCAGAGTCAATCGATGCAGCAAATTCTATTGCTGTCTTACTGTAAGACACTGCTACAGCCACGCTAACCTTCAGCAACCACCACCCTGATCAGTTAGCAGCCATCGACATCAAGGCAACATCGAGGCTCCACCGGCAAAGATTATGACTCACTGAAGGTTCAGATGATTGTCAGCATTCTTTAGCAATAATTTTTAATCAAGATAGGTACTTTTTTTTTTTTTGACATAATGCTATTGCACACTTAAAAGATTAGAGTATAAACATCTTTTTTTTTTTTTTTTTTTTGAGACAGGGTCTCGCTCTGTCACCCAGGCTCTGCAGTGGCATGATCATACCTCACTGTAGCCTTGAATTCCTGGGCTCAAGCAATTCTCCTGCCTCAGCCTCCCAAGTAGCGAGGTCTATGGGGCATGCTACCAGGGCTGGCTAATTGAAAAGAAATTTTGTTTTGTAAAGACAGGGTCTCACCTTGTTATCCAGGCTGGTCTCAAACTCCTAGCCTCAAGCAATCCTCCTGTCTCGGCCTCCCAAAGTGCTGGGATTATAGGTGGGAGCCAGCATGCCCTGATAAAGATAACTTTTTTTTTTTTTTTTTTTTTTTTTTGAGACGGAGTCTGGCTCTGTCGCCCAGGCTGGAGTGCAGTGGCTGGATCTCAGCTCACTGCAAGCTCCGCCTCCCAGCCATTCTCCTGCCTCAGCCTCCCGAGTAGCTGGGACTACAGGCGCCCGCCACCGTGCCCGGCTAGTTTTTTGTATTTTTTAGTAGAGACAGGGTTTCACCGTGTTAGCCAGGATGGTCTCGATCTCCTGACCTCGTGATCCGCCTGTCTCGGCCTCCCAAAGTGCTGGGATTACAGGCTTGAGCCACCGCGCCCGGCCAAGATAACTTTTATACGTACTAAGAAACCAAAATTTTCTGTGACTTGCTTTACAGTAATATTTGTTTTATTGTGGTGGTCTGGAATAGAACGCACAGTATCTCCGAGGTATACCTGTACTTCTCAAAAGTGGGGGAAAGGGCTTAACACTTTTGCTTAGTGAGACATCCTATGAAAAAGCATGTACTAACCCATTCAACTCTTCATATTTTTGAAAGAGGAAAATACACAGGTTGCTTACATTTGCTACACAAAATCTCAACCATGAGATTCCTGGTGCTATAGCCAGGGAATCTGTTACATATTCAAGGTAAGTTACCATTTTTTTGAGCCTTTGGTTGACTGATTAACCACAGGTTCCATAACTCTGCCTGCTACTACATAACTTTCAGCATTTGTGACCAAGTGCAGTGGCTCCCACATGTTATCCCAGCGCTTTGGGAAGATCATTCAAGGCCAGGAATTTGAATCCAGCCTGGTCAACATAGGGGGACCCTATCTCTACAAAAATAAAACTTAGTGGCTGGGCGTGGTGGCTTATGCTTACAATCCCAGCACTTGGGGTACTTGGGCAGGAGGATCACTTGAGGCCAGTAACTTAAGACCAGCCTGGGAAACAAAGTGAGATCTCATCTCTACTAAAACCAAACCAAAACAAAACAAAACAAAAAAAGGATACAAATAAAACTATAAAACATAATAAAAATTAAAAATTAGTAACTAGAAGGAAATGGGATTTGCTTGATGGGAAACATTTGCCCTTTGCTTTCTGTCCCACAGGAAAAGATGATCTAAGAACTAAACTCAGGTTTCATAAGCGTCACATGAGAACTTTTCAGAATCCCACTTCACTTCAGGTTTTGTTTCCCTACCTCAAGAACAGAAGGCCACAGACTAGGCTAGGTCTTGCAGGAAGTCCTGTAGCAATGGCTGATGGAAATGAATGTGCTCATGACCGAGCACCATTTCCTCTAAGGCGCTACCAAACCAAGGACACCAGAAAGAAAGCCACATGATTGCTAAGCTATGGCACCACTGCTACCAAGACCGGCATTATTCCTCCAGCCTCCCACATCATCTGTCCCAGGTGCGTCACTGACCTGTGTCGGCCATTCATCTCCAGGCCCACAACGGGGCAGATGAAACGTGCCCGCTGGAGGTCATCATGTTTGTCACCTTTAGTGTTTCCTTTATCCCCTTCCCAGGCAGGATTATCAGAAAGCTTCAGCTCTGTCACATTCTGGGAAAAACCATTAATATTTTAACAATTCATTTGATAAATAGATCATCCTTTGCCTTAACCACCTAAGTCAACAAATTGTTATTCTAGCCCTTCCCATCAAAATCTCTTCCCCATAGTTACTTTCCTCTGGTCCATAAGAAACACAGATATAATTTTTTTTTTTTTTTTGAGACGGAGTCTCACTCTTCGCCCGGCTGGGTGCAGTGGCCGGATCTCAGCTCACTGGAAGCTCCACCTCCTGGGTTCACGTCATTCTCCTGCTCAGCCTCCCGAGTAGCTGGATTACAGCGCCTGCCACCCTCCCAGCTATTTTTTGTATTTTTCAGTAGAGACGGGTTTCACCGTGTAGCCAGGAAGGTCTTGATCTTGTGACCTCGTGATCCGCCCATCTCGGACCTCCCCAATGCTGGGATTACAGCTTGAGCCACCGTGGCCGGACAGAACACAGTATAATAATTAAACCATAAACAGAAAACAGAACACAAGGCTGGGACATGGTGGCTCACGCCTGTAATCCCAGCACTTTGGGAGGCTGAGGTGGGCAGATCACCTGACGTCGGGAGTTCAAGACCAGCCTGACCAACATGAAGAACCTTCTCTCTACTAAAATACAAAATTAGCCAGGCACGGTGGAGCCAGGCCTGTAATCCCAGCTCCTCAGGAGGCTGAGGCAGGAGAATCGCTTGACCCAGGAAGGCGGAGGTGCAGTGAGCCGAGATCGTGCCATTGCACTCGAGCCTGGAGACAAGAGAGAAACTCATCTCAAAAAAAAAAGAAAAAGAAAAGAAAACAGAAAACAAGATCTTTTCAATTCACTGACTAGCAAGTAAATAAGTTATTTCTACTATACAAATTTTTTTAACTTAAGGAAAAGTACCTTCTCACATAAAAAATTACTCCACTAACAGAAAGTTTTGCATGGGTTCCACCCAGAACGGAATGCTTTCTCTCCTGAGGCTGCTTCATGTTACCGACCATCTATATTTATATAATTGTTGAAAAAAGCAAAACAAAAAAATACATATATATACAAATCATTGAATAGACAGCAAAATCTGAGGCCATGGCCTAAAAGCTAAGGCAGAATATTAGCCAGAAAATACTGTCATACTCCAAGACACAGCCATTCAGGTTTTCAAGAATTTCCAACTTTACAAAGAATTTGATACAATAGCTCTACTTTCGCATTCAAGGCACTTATTCATATTTAACGAGACCATTTTGACTTCAACACTATAGAGAGCAGCTGAGTGTCTCCAAAGGCAAATCACCATTCATCCAATCAGCTTCCTGGCTGAGAATCAGCACGTGTCTCACTGAGTTCTCCGCTCTGAGTATTTGTGGACTATCAATTGACAGTAATGACAATCTTATGTATTAGCATTGTTTTATTTGTATCTTTTTTTTTTTTTACCATTGTAATTTCTTGGAGATTTTTTCCATTAAAGATTCAACCACATAAAACTGAATATTACATGTATTTTAAGTATAGAACTGTAAGAATTAATTTCAATAACTGCAATTTTTTTCTCATCAGATGGGTAATGTGCTGATGTCACAAGGTTTGAGAGAGGCACATCTTACACATGCAAGTGAAAACCCAATCATAGCACTTATGAACTACTAAAGAATCGTCCATCACATTTTTGATGTAAGACGATTCATACTACCACAGGTTTTTCAGGAATAAATTCTCTTCCACAAGGTAAAAGACCATTAAAATCAGAATAATTTCTACAGCACTATCATTAGCTACATTTCAGAATTACAAATTTGCCTGAAACGAACATATCTTGTAATCAATTCCAAGAATTGGAACAAAAAGCCTAATATAATAATACGAAAGAAAGAAAAAGAAGGCAAAACCTAGAGCCTTAGACTGGGAGTTAAGGGATCTGATTCTGGTTTAAGTACTTCACTAGCCACGTGGCCTCAAGTAAGTCATTTACAGTGAGACGAAGGTTTGACTAGCCTCATGGTTCTCAAATTCTTCACTACCTTTCTTTTCTCCCACTGACCACATTTAAAAAGCTGTGTCCTCTCAAGAAACTTCCTTTATCAAAAAAACTTGTTTTTTCAACTTTTATGGAAGAACTTTAACTGTCAATCAGAACCTCTAATCACCAGATGGTAACCACATGATTTAACAGTGATCCATAAAATTCTCTAATTCTACAAAAGTACCTTCCAAACCCAAAATCCAAGTAGGTGAATCTTAATTACAAAAATAATGCCTCCCAACATTAATACAGAACATCAAAATTTTCAAAGCACAGCACACAGGTGAAATCATAACAGATTTATAATGAAGGAAGTACGCATAGTGGAACTCGTGGCTTGAGATTTACGTGACCTCCCAAGATTATATGTGTATTAGATGGCCGGGTGGGAATGGAATCTCAAATTTCTGAGTTCAGTCTTTAACGTGTATAAATTCTATAAAATAAACCTCAGCCACTTTTCAGACCCTCACAGCACTTCAGAATCACTAGTGTTACCTTAATGCTTTTAATGTGAGATGCTGCTTTCCCAAGAGCCTTTTCTGCAGATTTGTCCAAGAGAAACTCAATGACGGCATCTTTGTTATAAAGTCTGCAATAGTAAGTATTAGAATATTATGTCAACAAGCAACTTTCAAATAACCAAAGGAGGAAGAATAAACTGACCACAATCCAAAAGTCATTTACATTTGATAAGAAAAATGCCCTGAATTATTAAAAAGTAAATTTAACCCTGTTTCAACTATTTCCGAGCATACAAAGAAGGAAATTATTTATTTATTTATTTGAGACAGAGTTTCACTCTTGTCGCCCAGACTGGAGTGCAATGGTGCAATCTTGGCTCACTGCAACCTCCGCCTCCCTGGTTCAAGCAATTCTCCTGCCTCAGCCTCCCAAGTAGCTGGGATTACAGGTGCCCACCACCATGCCTGGCTGATTTTTGTATTTTTAGTAGACACGGGGTTTTACCATATTGGCCAGGCTGGTCTCAAACTCCTGACCTCAGGTGATTCGCTTACCTCAGCCTCCCAAAGTGCTGGGATTACAGGCATGAGCCAATGCGTCCAGCCAGAAATTAGTTTAAATCAAAGGTGGCAAACTGGCAGTTAGAAGGCTGAATGTAACCTGAACAAGGATTTTTTTAATTGGGAAATTTAATGTATAAGTACACATTTCCTATTTTTCTTTAAAAATTAAAACCAGAAGGTGTGGAATCACTAGGCCCACATCACTGAGCTGTAAACCTGGCTGGAACTGAGTGGCAGCTCCCGCTTTGGACAGGACGTGGACTCTCCAGTATTCTCCATTCCCTGCCATTCTCTCCTGTTCCTCGCATGGCTCCTTCATGTGTTTATGCTTATAACTTAGCTTCTATTGGCCCCTGAGTTTGCTTTTTTTTTTTTTTGAGACAGGGTCTGACTCTTGCACAGGCTGGGGTACAGTGGTGGAATTATAGCTTACTACAGCCTCAACCTCCCAGACTCACAGGCTCCTCCTGCCTCAGCCTCCTGAACAGCTGGGACTACAGGAACATGCCACCATGCCAGGCTAATTTTATTTTTTTGTAGAGGTGTGGTTTCACTATATTGCCCAGACTTGTCTCGAACTCCTGGACTTAAGTGACCCTTCCTCTTCAGCCTCCCAAAGTGGTGGGATTACAGGCGTGAGCCACTGCGCCCAGCCCGGCCCCTGAGTTTTCAAACCATGGATTAAATAAACCAAACTGTCTAGAAGACTGCAGAACTATGTTCAGAGACAGGGAACGATAGCCTATGCCTCACAAATCTGCTTGGGATAATTCACGCTTGATGAAGGGAAAACTGCATTTACACATCAAAATTCTCCTCAAAATCACTTCATAAACTCATCTTCATTAACTGTAAAAACCATACCTGCCAAGTTCACAGGCAACTATTGGTCGTCTTAATATTTCCTGACTTAGAGTACAATAGTTCCATTGGGCTACTAATTCAGCATCTTTGTCGACCTAATAAAAAACAAAAAAATTCAATTAATTTTCATCTCTGAAAGACACATGGTTCACAATTCTACATATAAAAGTATATTCGGTAATACCACACTGTAATGATTTTTCTTTTTTAAATCAAAGATAATGAAAATGACATTGGAAGTTGGGTTTTGTTTGTTTTTGAGACGGGGTCTCACTCTGTTGCCCAGGCTGGAGTGTAGTGGCACAATCTTTGCTCACTGCAGCTTCCACCTCCCGGACTCAAGCAATCCTCCCACCTCAGCCTCCGGAGTAGCTGGGACTATAGGTGCACACCACCACGCCTGGTTAATTTCCGTATTTTTTGTAGAGACGTGGTTTTGCCATGTTGCTCTCAAACTCCTGAACTCCACTGATCTGCCATCTCAGCCACCCCAAGTGCTGGAATTACAAGCATGAGCAACTGTGCCTGGCTGAAGTCAGGATTTTAAAAGTCACAAGTAATTGATACTACATCAAATAAAGGCCCATCTACATATGACATGTACAAAGAAAAAGAGTTTATATAAAATTATTAAACTATTCATGCAAGCCACATACAAATATTAACATCTGAATCTTCATAATAAATTAAGGAGGACATACAAAAGTACAAAAGAGAAAAACAAAGTGTGTTAGATTAATTTCTAACAATGGGAAAGCCCCCTCAGTTATGGCAGATTTTAAAGACTTAAGAACTAAGACGACAAGCATTTTTTTAAAAAGTTCAGAACAAAGACTACATAACACTTTATAAAATGTTCAATTTAACAGAAATAAGTGTTTTGGGGCTCATTTACTAAGGGATACATCAAACTTTATCCACAGTATGAAAATCCAGACATAAGACCCTCCCTGGCCCTCCAATGACATTTCCACATACATCATATTCCATGTCCTACTCCTTCCCATTCCTGTTTTCCCTTCACTGTTAGACTGCACCACTCTTCCCCAGTCTTCAAATGCCAAACCTGAATAATTTAACAGGACGGCACATTTGGAAGAAAATAGGAAGAGAAAAGAAAAGAAGACAACGAAAACAATCCCGCTGCATTTATTTTATTAATTTATTTTTTGAGACAGGGTCTTGCTCTGTTGCCCAGGCTGGGCTGCAGTGGCACAATCACAGCTCACTGCAGCCTCAATTTTCCTGGGCTCAAGCAATCCTCCCCCTTAGCCTCCAAAGTAGCTAGGACCACAAGCAAGCGCCACTATTCCCAGCTAACTTTATTTTATTTTTCTGAAGAAATCTCCCTGTGTTGCCCAGGCTGTTCTCCAACTGCTTGGCTCAAGTGATCCTCCTGCCTCACTCTCCCAAAGTGCTGAGTTTACAGGTGTAAGCCAACACACTTGGCCCTCTGAATTTGATTTTTAAAGTAAAAACTGCTTAAGTGCTTACTGTGTGCCAGGCACCGTGCTAAGCAGTTTCCATGACTTAACTTTTTAATCCTCAGAAAAACCCTATGAGTTAGTATTTTCACTTTTGTAGATAAGGAAAGCGAGGCACCAAGAGGTTAGGTTATATTCAAAAAGCACCTCAGAGAGTTGGGGACAGGGAGAAAAGTGACAAATCACTCCTTATCCAGGCCTTTAAAACTTAGTTCCCCCCAAAAAGCAGTAAAAAATGTCTTTACCAGGGTCTCTCTTCTTTTCTAGGGTCTTTCATCTTTTAAGTTTTTACATATCTGTACTGGAAAGACAAGTGTTTTTTGTTTTTTTTTTTCTTTTTTGAGACAGAGTCTCGCTCTGTCGCCCAGGCTGGGGTGCAGTGGCGCTATCTCGGCTCACTGCAAGCTCTGCCTCCTGGGTTCATGCCATTCTCCTGCCTCAGCCTCCTGAGCAGCTGGGACTACAGGTGCCCGCCACCACGCCCAGCTAATTTTTTGTATTTGTAGTGGGGACAGGGTTTCACTGTGTTAGCCAGGATGGTCTCGATCTCCTGACCTTGTGATCCGCCTACCTCGGCCTCCCAAAGTGCTGGGATTACAGGCGTGAGTCACCGCGCCCGGCCAGACAAGTGTTTTTTCTATACTTTCACTCACAACACTCAATACTTCCAGAACACTTCTGACAAAATGTATGGGATTTTCCCCACACCAAGCAATTCTCTGATAGCAGCCAGATGTCTCACAATTAAACTCGACTCTGATACCACCTATTTGGATATGGCCTCAGATCCCAAAGGTTAAGGGCTCAGTCCCATAATACTGTCCCCTACCCCAACTTTAGATGCTAATCACAAGTTCAAAAGTTGTCACCCGTGCTTCCGACTGTCTATAAATCAAAGGCTACCACAATGCCCCACTCAGGTTTGATAATCTGCTAGTGTCTCAGATGTGGGAAAACAGTTCAGTTACCATTGCTGACTTATTACAAATACATTTTAAGGACACAAATAAATAGCAAGATAAAGAAGCACATAGGGTATAGTCTGCAAGGGTCCAAAGTGCAGGGCTGTCCCCATGGAGCTGGGGTGAGTAACTCTCCTGGCATGTGGATGTGGTTGGCAACCCAGAAAATCTCCAAACCCTCAACTTCTTTATGGAGAACCCCCCATGTAGGCATGATGGATTATTAACTCCATGCCCAATTCCTCTCCTCCCTAAAGGATGGCGGTGAGGTGGGGTTGAAAGTTCCAAGCTTCTAATCTTGGTTTGGTGTTTCTGGTGACCAGTCCCCATCCAGGAGCTCACCAAGAATTGCCTTATTAGAACAAAAGATGATCCTGTCACCCAGGAAATTACAAGGAATTTAGGTGCTCTGCGTTAGGAACCAGGGCAGATTTCACAATACTGATTTGAAATGTAAGCTCCACCAGGGCTAGACTCTGTCTTGTTCACTGCTATATCCCTGGGGCCTACAACAATGCATATATGGTAACCACTTATTAAGCATTTGTTGTGTGAATAGTGACAACAAAAATCCATCCTGCCTAGGCATTCTGGCTTTTTTGAATCGTTCTTCCTTCTTTTCTACCCTCTTCCGACACCTGTTTCTTGTGAAGCCTTTCATTAAGCTACTCTTTTTCAGCCCAGGGCACAAGAAAACAAAACTGAGCTGAACACTTTTTTGGTAAAAGCCAAAAAAGCACTCACGAATGCTAATTATCCAGCATTAGCCTGTTTAAATGTAGGTATGATCAGAGGATACACTTCATCCTCTTGGGTATTCATTCATTCTCACATTCACACATGTATTTTAGGTGTTTATTATGTGGCAGACACATGGTAGGGCTAACAGGACACCCAAGGTTCCTGTCTACGTGGGAAAGAGACAATAAACAAGTAACACAGTGGTAAGCACTGTAAAGAAGAGAAGTGACAATATTGGAAGTGAGCCACATTTCAGCTACAGTGGACAGATAACATCTGAGTAAAGAACTGAATGAAGCAAAGAAACTCATCATGTGACAGTCTCAGTGAAGAATATTTCAGATGGATGAATTCACACTCCAAGTTGAAGAGCAAGAGGCCTGTTTAGCTAGAACAGTATGAAAGAGGTGGAGAGGGGCAGAAGATGAGGTCAGAAACACAGGCTGGGTCTGCTCACAGTGCCTGATGAGATTTTATTCTTAATGTGATGGGAAGTCACTGGAATGCTTCAAATGCAATAGTGACATAAGGGGTTTACCTTTTAAAACAAACTCTCCGGCTCCTGAATCAGAATACATGAAGTCTCCACGTGTGCCAGGCACTCTACTAGGTGCTTTACAAATATTTTATCATTAAAAAGTAATTACTAGTGCTAACTTTGAAATTCCGAGTAAGTGGATGGGAATCCTGGCTTCACTACCTACCAGCTGTGTGATCTTAGTCACTTTAATATCCCTGGACTCAGTGTCCCTGTCAGTAGCAAAGAAATTATTATAATTTCCTCGATTGCTTGTGAGATTAGGGATTACTCACTCATTTATTTATTCAGAATATTTACTGTGCCAGGAACTATGCTAGTTGCAGAGAAAAAAAGGGGCAGCCTCTGATATCAAGAACTTACCGTCTAGCGGGGAAGACTGATACAAATCAACCACGAACAGCCGTGTGCAGGGTGATAAGACAGTCTATAAAAGGATGTGGTAAGGGAACAGTTTGGGGAGGCTTCTCTGAGCAAATGAAGTTAGTGTATACAAAACTCAATATACACTAGGTATTTGTATTATTGCTACTAGCCGCAGGTAGGGTTCAAACCCTAAGCTCTGCCATTTACTAGCTTTGCAACTTTCTCCTTTTGAGCCTCAACTTCCATGTCTGAAAATGAGGATGACAGTATGTAGCCACAGGGCTACTGTGATAATTACATCCGATATCCCCTGTTAAGATTACTGTCCAGTGAATGGCAATAGTCAGCACTCATTGAATGTCCACTCTTAACACTGTTGTTAATTTTGAGTCCTGTGAATGGAATAAAAGACCGCAGCTAGGTCTGGAATCCCGCTGGCTCCCTCTTCTTCCTCTCGTTTCCTGGGGTCGTCAAATTCCCACCATCCCCGGTCCCCAACAGCCCGCCCACATCACTGACCTTCTCAACTTTCTTCGGCCCCTTCACCAGTTCATGCCTCTTGGGGATTGTTCCCCCGTCGCAACCCATCGCAAGACGGTAGTCAGAGCCAGCAGCAAAGTCCTAAAGCAGCCACTTCCGGGATTTCTGGCGCAATCCTCAGCCACTTCCGGCGCACCACCGTGACGCAGCACGCTGGTCGCGACGCAGCGGGGCGGGGCGGCACGCTAGTCCCCACGTAGCGGGGCGGGGCGGGGCCGGGCCGTTGCCAAGTGCCGGTTGTCATGGAGAGCGTCGCTTGGAGGCTGGGCGCGGGCGGGTTTCCTCTTTCCCGTGAGACCCTGGGTTTGTGCTGCACAATCGGAATTACTCGCCCACGCTCCGGGAGGGCAGCGAGGGCGTGGGCGGCCCGTGCGCACCCACCGCGCTTTGACCTCTTTGACCCTATCCCACGACAGCTTGTGTGGCTGCGGAGCGGGCACATCCCTGGACTGAGAGCGCCTTGGGAAAAAGGGCCGCCCTCTTGTTTCTGCGATTAATGATGCCTAAGAACGGAATCTGCCATATCAATGGACATTTTTGTGTTTAAAAGGAGAACGCATCTTTATTGAGCGCCAACTGTGACTCAAGCACTTACAACAAATCCTGTGAAGTGATGTTACAGCAGATTCTAGGAAGTAAGACCCTCCCTAAGGCCTGGAACTTTCTGGTGTTGCCATGCATATTGTAGATGGCATGTGTGTGAAATTTTGCATACAGTTTGTGCGTGTGTGTATTTCATTCACAGTTTCCTGAAGCCCAGGCTAAAAAAATTTTATTAACAATCAAGTATCATTAATAGACGATACAATAGTTCTTATAAAACATACAGTGACGTTGTTATGCCCATTCCAAGAGACAGGCTGTATTTTATCTATAAGAACACAAATCCCTTGCTAAAAATCCATGATTGTCTGTCGGCTCTTAGGCGATTGCCTATCTATTTGTTCCTTTAATTATTATAAATATTATGGGAAAGTGCCTATAATCCCAGCACTTTGGGAGGCCGAGACGGGAGGAGCACTTGAGCCCAGGAGTTCCAGGTCAGCCTGGAAAACATGGTGAGACCCCATCTTGAAAGAAAAATTAGAAAAATTAGCCAGGCGTTGTGGTAAGCTTTTGTAGTCCTAGTGGCTCCTGAGGCTGAGGTGGGAGGAAGGATTGCCTGAGCCCAGGAATTCAAGGTTGCAGTGAGCTATGATCATGCCACGCACTCCAGCCTAGGCAACAGAGCATGACTCTGTCATTAATATATATGTATGTATGTGTGTGTGTATGTATTTGTACATATATATGATGAGAAATTTTCTGCATTGCCAAGAAGGCAGATCTTTATGATTGGATGTTACCCTATTGACCTACGTGAAACTAAAATGCTGAAAATATTTTTTACTTGGGAAGAGTTGCCCAGAAAATATGTGGATGTGAAAACTTAAAGGGCTGTATGTCAGTTTGGGGTACTTGTTACTGTAATTAATGAGAATTTAAAAAAATCCCTTTAATTAGTTGGTCTCTGATTGATTTATGATTTATTTCTATGCTAACCGCAATAACTGTAAGCTCTATGAGGGTAGGGATTTCGTTTTTATTTTTTATTTTATTTTTTTATTTTTTATTTTTGAGACAGAGTTTTGATTTGTTGCCCAGACTGGGGTGCAGTGATGTGATCTCGGCTCACTGCAACCTCAACCTCCCAGGATCAAGCGATTCTCCTGCTTCAGCCTCCCCAGTTGCTGAGATTACAGCTGTCCACTACCATGCCTGGCTGATTTTTGTATTTTTAGTAGAGACGGGGCTTCACCATGATGGCCAGGCTGGTCTCAAACTCCTGACCTCAGGTGGTCCACCTGCCTTGGCCTCCCAAAGTGCTAGGATTACAGACGTGAGCCACCAAGCCCAGCCAGGACTTCATTTTATTCCACATTGTATCATCAGTGCCTAGAAGTCTTTGGCACACTCAATGTATGAGTACATTTCCTCAGTAAACCAAAAGAAAGTACAGATTAATTGAGAAAGGGGTCAAAAGCCTAGTTTTGGCAGATACTAAAACTGGTTAATACTATTAGAATTCCATTTACTAGTGAGGAAGCAGAAGCGTGGAAAGATCAAATGACTCCTTCAAGGTCACGTGGCTAGTGAGAGACCCGGGAATGAGTGCTGGGATTAGTTCTTTCTCACAGCAAAGGACAGAAGGTCAGATACAGAACAGCAGAAACACCAGCCAGTTTAGAAAGGCTCAAACCAGTGTTCTTTTCTCATTTGGGGAAGAAAAATAAAAAATAGCGGCTCTAAGACATGACCGTGCATACACTGAGAGATTTGTAGGCATTCTTTCACTTTGGACTCACAACAACGTTAGAAGTTAGAGGGTATAATGCCTCCTATTTTACAAATGAAAACCCCAAGTTGTCTTCGTTCAGGGTCCCACAGCTGGTGAGTAGAAGGAGTAGAAGATGAGGGGCTGTCTCCCATGAGGCCCATCTGACTTAACTGCTTCTCCAAATGCTGCTGATAAAACCCAGCGGTACAGGCTGTGCTGGTGTTCTAGCTCAGGCAGCTGGAATTTTTCTCTTCCTCATTGGTTTCCTCTTTTAGAATATTGGTCTCTAGGCTACTCTGTGCCTCAGACTATACACAGCTAGAACTTTTGTGAGGTTTATGATATTGGTAGCAGATATGTGTTGAGAGCTGGCTGCCATGTCAGGTGCTGTGTTCAGCACTTTACTGGACTTAAGCCATTTATTCTCCCAGCTCTGCTGGGAAGCAGATGTCATCATTGTCTGCTGCTTCTTCCAGTGCCTTGTTGAATAAACTAATAAAGGTTATTCCCTTACAAGCATCTTTGGAGACAACTTTGTCCTCGTCAAGCCATGGATTTTCAGGGAAGCAGAGGAATGAAATGATAAAAAAGAGAATCATTACTCTTTAGCAAAACCAGTATTTCTTAACCTTTTGGGAGTCATTGGACCTGTTTGAGAATTTGATGAAAACTTCGTACTAAGTCTCCAGAAAAGTATTGATTAGCACATATGACATTTCACATAGCGTATACATGTTTGTATTTTACTCACAGCCTTCTGAATCTCAGGCTAAGAACCAGTATTTTAAATGCTGTTATAGTAAGTCCTTATAGTAGGTCTCAAATATTTCAGACTTCTTTTTTTTTGTTTCTTCTTGTTGTTGTTTTTGAGATGGAGTCTCGCTCTGTTGCCTATGCTAGACTGCAGTGGTACAATCTCAGCTCACTGCAACCTCCACCTCCCATGTTCAAGCGATTCTCCTGCCTCAGCCTCCTGAGTAGCTGCAATTACAGGCATGTGCCATCATGCCTGGCGAATTTTTTGTGTTTTTAATAAAGACGGGGTTTCACCACATTGGTCAGGCTGGTCTAGAACTCCTGACCTCGTGATCTGCCTGCCTTAGCCTCGCAAAGTGCTGGGATTACAGGCGTGCACCACCACGCCCAGGCAATTTTTTGTATTTTTAGTAGAGTCAGGGTTTCACCATGTTGGCCAGGCTGGTCTCGAACTCCTGACCTCATGATCCACCCACCTCGGCCTCCCAAAGTGCTGGGATTACAGGCATGAGCCACTGCGCCCGGCCCGTTTCAGACTTCTGAGCCATGGCAAGTTTGATTTCCTGATAGCTCTGCTCATGTGCTCTTCCATAGCCGCACTTAGCATAACTCATTTTAAGAGTTGGCATTAAACATTTTTTAAACTATATGCTATGCTTTGAATGTGTCCCCCAAATTTCATGTGTTGGAAATTTAATCCCAGTGCAGCAGCGTTGGGAGCTGGGGCCTGATAAGAGGTGATTAGGTCCCGAGGGCTCTGCTCTCATGACTGGATTCATGTTGTTATCTTGGGAGTGGGTTAGTGATGAGACAGTGGACTTGTTATAACATTGAGTTCGACCCTCTCTTGCTCTCTTGTCCTTCCACCTTCCACCATGGGACTATGCAGCACAAAAGCCCTTGCCAGATGCAGGCCCCTTGACCTTGGAGTTCCCAGCCTCCAGAACTGCAAGAAATAAATCTGTTCTTATTCTGTTAATGCAGCACAAAATGGACTAAGACAGTAGATGTGAAAAATGTTTGAAGAACTTTACAACCATCCTTTAAGGTCATACACAGGAAGGAGTCCCAAAGACGGTTAAAACAAAGTAGAAAACTGAGGCAAGTCCTGAGATAATTCAAGATAAAAATTACTTTTAATTGGCAGTTTTAGGGAAATATTCAAAATATTCTGGCAATATACAAAACTTTGAATGAACTGGCCCCTGGCCACCGCTCCCAGCTAATGTGGGCCACTGTTCCTTTCCTTACTGGGTTCCAGCCACACTGGCCACCCTCCTCTCCTACCTCTGTGCACATGTCTTGCTGATCCTTCTCCAGGGACGCGCTTTCTCTTCATGTGTTCCCAGCTGGCGCCCTCAAGGGATCCAGCCCTCTGCTCCTGGGACCCCTCCTTGGAGCCATCTTCCCTGACCTCTCCATCCAAAATAGCACTGCTCTCTCATCACACTACCTCCATCTTGCTTTATTTTCTTCTTTGCATTTGTCACACAAATATCATGTTATAAATATAAATTTGGACATCTTATTCACCATGGAGTTTTTTGCATTGATTTTTATTTCTTAAAAATAATTGCATCAAAATATTATTTATCTTGATACACAGTGTTTGGGGCACTGCCTTACATTTTGCATTCCAGAAGAGCTCCTCTCCACCTCCTGCCTGGTGTTTTAAATCTTCCTCGACTGGAAAGAAAGCGCCATGCTCCAGAGCCTTTGTTGTGTTTCCTGCAGCATCTCTAGTCATCAGCAAAGGCCTGAACAGGTAGGAGCTGCTCAATGACTATTTGAGAAATGAATGAATGAAAGGAAAAGGGTATTAGCAAGTAGCTTTGATTCACCTCCTTGTAAGTGCACACACAAATGGGCAACTTTCAGAGGACTGGGGTGCATCCATAGGGAAAATACAACATTTTTAAAAAGATGTTTATAAAAAACATAGTTGCCACGAAACCACAAACACAACTCCCCACCACTTGTCAAACTGGAAGATCTCTAACATGGGCTCTTCACCACTTCCAGCCTCCTGATGAAATTTGACTTAGTTGAGGTCGAGTTGCTACCACCACACCACCCACCATTTCCGCTTCCTTCCTTGGGAGGAAACCGTACAGAATTCTGGGCATTAAGCAAAAATACTCAGCAAAAAGTTACCAAAAGCTAAAAAATTGTGTTTAATTTTATTTGAAAGTTTTTTTCAGAGGTAATCATCTGATTAATGAGTGGAAATTCGCCCTGGAATCACTGTTTCAAAAAAAGGAAGGAAACACATTTAGCTCACGGCAGCATTTTTCAATATTTTACACCCAAGCGTTTTGTATTTTGTTGACAAAGGTCTTCAATTTGGATTCATCTCAGAAAAAAAAAAAGGACTTTTCGTTACGTATTAGAACACGGTGAAAGACTCACTTATGAACGACTAAGTTAAAGAATATAAAGCATTAGAACAGTGCTTTAGTAGCAATGTAGTAATAATTTAATAAATATATGCCACTGTTATTAAGCATAAAACATAATTTTATCCACTGCAATAAAAATTTATTGTTTGCCTCCTCACAATGATCGCTCCTCTTTTTAATTTTCTGTTTTTTGAAATGAAGTTGTACTCTGTCGTCCAGATTGGAGTGTAGTGGTGTAATCATGGCTCACTGCAGCCTCGAATTCCTGAGCTCAAGAGATCCTCCCACTGTAGCCTCCCGAGTAGCTGAGACTACAGGTGTGTACTATCAGGTTCAGCTAATTTTTTTGTATTTTTTTTGTAGAGACAGCATCTTGCTTTGTTGCCCAGGCTGCTCTCAAACTCCAGGGCTCATGCAACCCTCCTGCCTTAGCCTCCCGAAGTGCTGGGATTTCAGGCATGAGCCACCAAGCCTGGCCTAATCCTTCCTTCTTCCAACAATATTCCTGACTTTTGTTAGGGGATCCTGTCAGGACCCAGTTCTCCATAGGTCTCTTGCCTTTCTGCACATATTCAGAGCAGAGGCACCAATGGCATTTTGTTGCGAACTGTCTTTTAAAGGATGTTGTCTAACCATCTTCCAACAGCCTTGGAAGATAGAGATAATGTCTCCTTCCAGAGCAGAGGTCAGGTTTGTTTGGTATGCAATATATTAAAAATGAAGGCGAGGCACGATGGCTCACACCTGTAATCTCAGCAGTTTTGCAGGCTGAGGCAAGAGAATCGCTTGAGCCCAGGAGTTTGAGGCTGCAGTGAGCTATGTTCGCACCACTGTATTCCAGCCTGGGTGACAGAGCAAGACTCTGTCTAAATATGTGTGTGTGTATATATATAAAATACATATTATATATTATATATCTCACATATAGAACATCTATATTACATATCTAACGTCTATATTGCATAGCTATAACATATATTACATATATAAATATGTATAAAGATGATGTCTCCCTCCGAGGCCAAGCCTGGTCAGATTTGCTCAGAGCCCTTTGTAAAAACTTGGGGATTCCTATGCTAAGGTTCCTTGGCTTTGACACAAACCTATGTGATCAGCATCCACCTGAGCCTGCCACTGCATCACCCCCTGGGACTTGGGGGACATGGGAAATGATGTGAAGGTGAAGCAACGTTGCTTGTGATGCCAGGAGAAAGAGTCCTTTGTCTCCATGCACAAAAGAACGAACACTGCAGGCCTGACAAATATCCTTATGAAGGCCTGCCCGCGAGGTTGACCTTCGGTTGGTGCATGGAAACTTGGATTTTGGGAGGGTTCCCACCATTGCCAGAATTTATAAGAACGGCTCATTGTGCCTAAACTGTTGGTACAAACGTGATTCACACTGAACACCTGCTTTCCTTCTGGGAGTCTGGAAATTTGGTACATGCCAGACAGAGGCTTCCCACCTGATCAGCCCCCAGGAAAACCCTGGCTGCTGAGGCTCTCATGAGCTTTCTTGGTTGACAACATTTCACACATGTTGGCACAAGTGTTGCTGGGGCGGATTAAGCGTGTCCTGTGTGACTCCACTGGGGGAAAACTCTCGGAAGCTTGTGCCTGGTCTCCCCTAGATTTCACCCCAGGTACCTCTTCCCCTTGCTGATCTTACTTTGCATCTGTTCAATATAGTAAGTCACAGCTGTGAGTATGACTCTATTCTGAGTCCTGTGAATTTTCCTAGGGACTCATTGGACCTGGAGGTGGTCTTGGGGACCACTGACAGAGTCTCTGATCCCAGAATCTCATGTCTTCTGCCTGCATCCACGAAATGGTGACAGGCTAACTTGTTAATTTCAGAGATGAAACCTCAGGCCCATCACAATGCTTGAAAGACCAATCCCGTTACCTCTCAGGACATATGGGAGAGTGTGTGTGGGGTGGGTGGGAATTCCAGATCTAAATGAACCTCGGTGTTCCATGCCCTGCTTACCATGGAGCTTTCGGGAGCAGGCACCTGATCTAAGCCAATCCAAGCCTAATGAAGGTCTTTTCTTCTCCTCTGGCCAAGAATCAAGAAGAGTGTAACCTGGAAAAACCACCTTGCAATCATGGGGGTTAACCCAGAGCAAGTGGGGCCGAGAAACTGGTCCTGGATGACACTGTTGGAGCCCCTGAAACCAGCCAGCCGTGTGGCTAGTTTGCCCCTGGATGATTTTAAGATCTATGAGTTAATAAATTTCCTTTACTGCTTAAGACAGATTGGATATGATTTTCTATCTCTTGTAAGAGGAGTCCTAACTGATGCAGATCATGGCTGTTCGAAGAATAGGCCCCCTGGAGGACCTCTGTCCAATTGTAGAGAACTAAGCCTCACAAAGAAGGGATCCTTCTTTTAAGGACCCTGAGACTAACTCAATAAAAATATTGAGAATGTTGACAGTGTTGACATATTGAAAATATTGAACAATATTGAACACTGAAAATATTGAACAAATATTGAAAATGTTGACAGTCTCCAGCAGTCAACATTTTACAAGCGCCTACCAAGGAAAGAGTAGCAGATAGCAGTAGGACTTGGTATCATTTCAGGTGACTTACAGCCTGGAGATGTTCTTCCAGGCTGTAGAGATGTTTATGCGCCTGGGAGACCCAGACCTTCACTTAAAATGAAGTGATGATGTAACCATGGCAACGTGAGCTGAGGACTCAGCTACAAGGAAAGGAAGAGGAGGTGGTTTGAGTGGAGGGGATGTCCGCGCCACTTTCATATCTGTACCCAATGATGAGTATCCTGTCCACACCACGCCTTCCCGTCTGTACCATCACAGGTGATAGCTTTGTTTTCCAGTACCAATCCGGTGCCTAAGAGCATGGCCTCTACCCCATCTCCCTGCAGACTTCAGGGAGAAGCACTGGAATGACAAAAGTAAACATTGGAGGCTTCACTTGGGTGACAGAGACTTTTCCAAAAAAAAGAATGCTGCAAATGATGTTTAAAGTCATGATTGTATTTAATATTATTAGGATGATGCAAAGGCAGTTGTGATTTTTGCCATTACTTTCCATGGCAAAAGCTGCAATTACTTTTGCACCAACCAATATACATTGTAACAGATTTGAGACAAAATATAAAAATTTTCAAACTGAGCAGAATTTATCAACCCAGAATCTGTAATGAATGAAATAAATTAATAGAGAACCCAACAGATCTTGTTATGTTGTAAATATAACATCTATCTTTAGGTTAAAGTCACATAGCAAAAATATATATTTATGGGTGCAAGACACATACATAATTTGTACCAATCTTACAGAACTAATTCAATTCAAAACAACAAAAAAACTTACCCTATTTTCTAATGAACGCAGTAAAAATTAACCATTTCAAAACAATTTCTCTTGTGCTTCGCCAACTTACATTTTTCCTGGCACCTGCTATACTGTGTATGTATTTCTTCATCACTTTACTGTCTGACTCCCCTACTAGATTGTAGGTTCCAAGAGGGCAAGGCCTCTGCTACACTGTTATGTCTCCAGCACCTAGAACTTGGCATATAGTAGGCATTCAATAAATAAATGTTAAATGAGTGAATTTAAAACACATACATGCCGGGAATGGTGGCTAACGCCTGTAATCCCAGCACTTTGGGAGGCCAAGGCGGGGGATGACCTGAGGTCAGGAGAACCAGACCAGCCTGGTTAACATGGTGAAAACCCATCTCTACTAAAAATACAAAAATTAGCTCTTCCTTTCTCTGCCATTGTGGTGTGTGCTTGACTCTGCTTCTTGCCATGTCTTCTCATAAGACTTTCAGGATTGTGATTCCTGACCAAGAAGCGAACACAAAATCGCCCCACTCCCCAGTAGATTTGGATGAAAACTGGTAATAAAATCAAGTACAACTCCAAAAGGAGACATTGGAGAAGAACCAAGCTGGGCCTATAAGGAATTGCACATGAGACGGCACACATATTTATGCTGTCTGAAGGTCACAATCATGTTACCACATCAAGGTGAAAATGTCACCACTCTCTGGAGAGTTGTACATGTTTTATTGGGAATATATTTTTTTCTCTCTGAATCTGTTATGAATGCATTGGTTGGCTGGGTTCAGTAATAAATATGTGAGACTTTTCATTAAAAAAAAATAAATACAAAGATTAGCTGGGCATGGTGGTGCATGCCTGTAGTCCCAGCTACTCTGGAGGCTGAGGCAGGAGAAATGCTTCAACTCGGTAGGCAGACGTTGCAGTGAGCTGAGATGGCGCCACTGCCCTCCGGCCTGTGTGACAGAGTGAGACTGTGTCTCAAAAAACAAACAAACAAAACATGCACACATTTAATTAATCAACATAAAATATTATTTCTACGAAGTCACTTCAAGCTGATACTGCATACTCCATATATGCTAAACTTCACAAGGTCTTTACCTCATATCTGTCTCTCTTTCCTGACCCCCTGTGGGGTAAGTCAATGCCCCGGGGTTGCTTAGCCACTTGGTACTACCAGCTTTGGGTCTTTGGGTACCAGGTCTGTTTCAGCTGATCGGTGTATACCCCGGCTGGCTTTTCCCATAGGACAGAGTTGCACAAGTTGTGGGTGTGAAGCTGAGAGGTGAGCAGAGGAGGAAGGGAGGTAGAGAGTCCTCATCCCAATGTCCCTCTGAACTGCCGCGTGTGTCGCTCCAGCTTCTCAGCCTCCGCCTGGAGGTGCCCCAGCGCGGCAGGGCTGGGGTAGGTGAGCACGGCATTCTTAGTGGCCAGCGCTACGTCCTTGAGCAGGCTGCAGAGGTGACTGCTGCCGCGGAGGATCTCGTTGCGCACGTCCCTCTCCTGGGTCTCCGTGCACAGCGTGTCCACCAGCTTCTGGCCCACCGTGATGACCAGCTTGCTCTGAGTGATGATCTCTGCAGGCTGGCTGCTGCTGAGGCTGCCATGAAATGCGCTGATGGCTTTGAAGAGCGCCCCAAAGTAGAGCCGGCAGTGTTCAGAGAGGCGGTGTTTCCTCTCAGGAGTCTGTTGACTCGAAGGCTGGGGTGTAAGAGGGCCAGGATTCTAAAGAAAGGAAGGAAGAATATAGATAGGAGACTCAATCAATGGGCTGTGGCTGTGTGTCCTTTCCTGTTTTGGCTAGATTTGCAAGACCTTTTATTTTTTTAAAGAAAGCATGGTTTGGTTTGGGAAGCCCAATACTGCAACAGTTATCTAACAAATTAATGTTTTCAAAGCACTGTAACATATAATATATACAATCTTATATTGTAATACATACATATAATTTTATTCAATCATCTCAATAAACCAACCATAAGAAACCCATTTTAAGAAACACATTGGCAATAACCATAATTTTTTTTTTTTTTTTTTTGAGACAGAGTCTTGCTTTGTCTTCCAGGCTGGAGTGCAGTGGTATGATCTCGGCTCACTACAACCTCTGCCTTCTGGGTTCAAGCAATTCTCCTGCCTCAGCCTCCTGAGTAGCTGGGTTTACAGGCACCTGCCACCATGCCTGGCTAATTTTTGTATTTTTAGTAGAGACGGGGTTTCACTGTGTTAACCAGACTGGTTTTGAACTCCTGATCTCAAATGATCCGCCCACCTCAGCCTCCTAAAGTGCTGGGATTACAGGTGTGAACTGCTGTATCCAGCTAAATTTTTTACTTTTAAAAATGCAGGAAAACTTGTTGGTGAGTTTTAAAATGTTCTCAAAGAACAGATTTTAAAACATTTAAAAATCCAAAAATCCTCTCTGATTTCAGTATCAGAGGTATACCAGAACCCCCAACATTTCCAGAAGAAACCAAAAACCCTGACCTATCTGCCTTAATATTATTATTATTTTTTGCCTTGTTATTAAAATATTTATCAATTTGCTAATAAGGTTTCATCAACATTTTACATTCATGAATTTTATTTTGTGGAAAATGGAACTAATGTCTCCCAAATCCTATATACTCTCAGAGATTTTCAGTACCTAACTTAGTGGCCACAACTCCAGGTAACAATTGAAAGGTGAAGCGAGAAAAGGCTACCTCTGGCCATTCCATTAGCACATCAGAGATCTGGAGCTCTAGGTCTGAAACTCGCTTTCTTTCCATTAAATTTCACACTCTTGCATTTACCTATTATCTCAAAATTCACAGGCCGGAAGCATTTAGACAGATATGGCATAAAACTGATTTTTTTCAGGAGGGGGTTATGTCTCCAGTGGCTGGTAGGGTTGGAGGGGAAGTTAGACAAGGAGGAGGAAAGCATACTTCGAAGAAGCACATTCATTATTAGAATTGCATATTTGGAAAATGAAAACAATGATTGTCTTTGTCATAGAAAGTGAAGGCAAGATTGAGATGTCAGTTCAGATGAACTCTTGGAAGCAGGGAGTGTAAGAATGAAGCAGGTTGAGTGCAGTGACCCACGCCTGAAATCCTAGCCCTTTGGGAGGCCGAGGCAGGAGGATCGCTTAACCCTAGGAGTTCGAGACTAGCCTTGGTGACATATGAAACTCTGTCTCTACCAAAAACAAAACAAAACAAAACAAAAATTAGCTGGGTATGGCGGTGTGGGCCTGTGGTCTCAGCTACTTGGGAGGCTGAGGTGGGAGAATCGATTGAACCTGGGTGGTGGAGGCTGCAGTGAGCCATGATCTCACCACTGCACTACAGCCTCAGCAATAGAGCAAAACCCTGTCTCAAAAAAAAAAAAAGAAAGAAAAAAAAAAAGGAAGGTAGCTGGACACGGTGACTCACACCTATAATCCCAGCACTTTGGGAGGCTGAGGCAGGAGGGTTACTTGAGGTCAGGAGTTCGAGATGAGCCTTGCCAACATGATGACTCTCATCTCTACTAAAAACACAAAAATCAGCCAGGCATGGTGGTGCGCACCTGTAGTCCCGGCTACTCAGGAGGCTGAGGCAGGAGAATCGCTTGAACCTGTGACACAGAGGTTGCAGCGAGCCGAGATCACGCCACTGCACTCCCACCTGGGTAACAGAGCGAGACTCCACCTCAAAAAAAAAAAAAAAAAAAAGAAGAGCTTAGAAATAATGAGAAGTAATGAGGTAGACATCAGATTATGAGCATCGTAAGTGAAAATATTAACTGTAGGGAGGTGAAAAATGTACTATGATTCTTAACTTGGGGTGCTGGAAATGTGTAGAGATAGTTTTGATTAGTTCATTGACTAGGGACTTCTATAGGCAGTGAGCGGGCAGGATTCTGGGATGCTGAATAGTTCATCCCACGCAACGGAGAACTGTCCACCCAGTGGCCAACGGTGCCATGGACCTCCACTGAGAAGTGCTGTCACTCTAAAGCGGGGGCTTTCTAAGTGAGGTCCTTGGACCAGAAGCATCAACATCACCTGCAAACTTGCTAGAAAATGCGCATTACTATGCTCCACCCCAGACCTACTAGATCAAAAATTCTGAGAGTGGGGCCCAGCCATGCAAGTTTTTTTTGTTTATTTGTTTTCTTGAGACAGAGTCTTGTTCTCGTTGCCCAGGTTGGAGTGCAGTGGCACGATCTCAGCTCACTGCAACCTCCGCTTTCCCGGTTCAAGCAATTCTCCTGCCTCAGCCTCCTGAGTAGCTGGGATTACAGGTGCCTGCCACCACACCCAGCTAATTTTTTGTGTTTTTAGATACGGGGTTTTACCATGTTGGCCAGGCTGATCTCGAACTCCTCACCTCAGGTGATCCACCCGCCTCAGCCTCCCAAAGTGGTGGGATTATAGGCACGAGCCACCGCGCCCGGCCAGCCATGTGAGTTTTAACAAACCTCATAGGTGATTGTGATACACTCAAATTTGAGAACCACTAATCTAAGGTGTACTTAATGTTGGACAAAATAGCATGACTGTTAGCAATATGGCAGGCCCAAAGACTAGTGTTTGGGGTTTGGTGACCTGAGCATCAGGAGGCCTGAATTCTTGTCCTAGGTTGCCTCTGAGAAGGTATGTGACCTTATCCTAGTCATTGGATATCCTTTTCTTCCACCCTCTACCCCATCTGCCCTATAACCTAAGTAAGTTTCCCAAGCTTCAGTTATTCAGGGACAGCCTTTACAACCTTTACAAGTTATACTCTTTCCATTTTCCTCTTAACTTCTACTGGCTTCATTCCTTTTCTTTAAATGGACCCATTGCTTTTACTTACATTAATTTAAAGGAAACCGTGAAAAATGGTAAATGGAAAACTACTGTCATTTACCACAAATAGAAGGAAACCAATAAAAATAAGCACAATGATAACATCTTTGACTTTTTTTTTTTTTAAAGGAAGAACATCAAGTGTAAAAGAGGTGTTGAAGATATATAAGCCCCAAATCAAGATTTGCTGTTGTAATCAGAAACATTAAATCAGAATGTCAAAGAGCAGTTGAGTCAGTCCTGTTTAGCCCGGTCAGTACCACCCACAACAACCTCGCAGAGCGCCTAGAGTCATTTCATTAATGGTTAATGCTTCACTTCCATTCCCTGGGGTTCGTTCATTAGACTCACTGATCTCCAGGACTCTCTTGCTAAAATAAAGGACCAAGAATCACAAAAACTAACTCTCGCCCATGTGGGTCATGGCTGTAATGCTGAGCTTTCCATAGCATGATCAGACGAATCTAGCAATAAAGCTAGATTCAGAAGCTTTAGAGAGTGAGTGCTACAGCTTACCATGGTTCCTAAGTCTTCGTTTTCATCTAACCTTTGTTCCAAGATAGGTTTCTCTTTCTTTTCTAAGTTAGGCAATGTCTGAAAAATACAATTCCTTCAAATTACCGAATTGAGTGGTGTTTGACACTACTGTGGAACTGTTTTAAGTTCACTTTAGACTTGGGCATTCTTTCTCATGTTTTCTGTTGATGGTTCTGCCTACTGATTCCTTTTCTCAACCAAAGGAGACTCTGGCTGCCCGAAGGCTGAATGTTGCCTATCAACATGGCCTGATATGATGACCCACACAGCTTTGTTAGCGTTACATATATGTGTATGTCAATTTTAAACATCTAAATTTCTAGAACGTGTTAAACCTCCTACACCACCAGGCATTTCAGCAGAACACAAAGGTTGGGGCCGAAAGTATCAAATTACCTCCTTGACACAGCCCCCAAGTGACTTCTGGGTTCACAGTCCCTGAACTGAAGCATCTTGCTCTATAATGTCTGAACTCATCCAGAAAAGTATTTCTTTCTGTCTTGTCTTTTATTTGTTCTTGAGACAGAGTCCCGCTCTGTGGTCCAGGCTGAAGTGCAGTGGTGCAATCTCAGCTCACTGCAACCTCCGCCTCCTGGGTTCAAGTGATTCTCCCGCCTCAGCCTCCTGAGTAGCTGGGATTACAGGTGCATTCCACCATGCCCAGCTAATTTTTGTACTTTTAGTAGAGATGGGGTTTCACCATGTTGGCCAGGCTGATCTCAAACTCCTGACTTCAAGTGATCTGCTCGCCTTGGCCTCCGAAAGTACTGAGTTTACAGGGGTAAGCCACCATACCCCCTCTTTTTTTTTTCTTTTCCTTTTTTAGAGACAAGCTCTTTCTCTGTCACCAAGGCGGAGGTGCAGTGGCGCCATCATAGCTCTCGGTTACCCCAAACTGCTGGTCTCAAGGGATACCCCTACTCAGCCCCCCAAGTGCATGAGCCACCACACCTGGATATTTAAAACTAAATTTTTTACATCTGGGGTCTCACTCACTATGCTGCCCAGGCTGGTCTCAAACTCCTGCCTCAAGGAATGGATCTTCCTGTGTTGGCCTCCTAAAGTGTTGGAAATTACAGGCATGAGTCACCACACCCCGCCTCAGAAAAGTATTTCTAAGAGTAGCTAAAGTCTGGAGGCTGATCAGATGGTGAGCAATTTGAAAGAATGTTTCTACTTCCTCTTCCGTTGCTAAGAAACACACTGACAATGACTAAATTTATAACTTTCAAAAATGCAAGGAGACTTGGTGGTGAGGTTTTAAAAATCTACTCGAATAGTAGATTTTAAAGAAAGTTGAAAAATCTCTTTTAATTCTAATATCATGGTAAACTTGAACCCCAAAAGTTTTCGGAAGAAATCCAAATCAACTGACCTATCTGCTTATGCTGCCCTATCTTTATCTGACTTGTTAATAAGATTTCATCAAGAATTTTACTTTCGGCTGGGCGCGCTGGCTCAAGCCTGTAATCCCAGCACTTTGGGAGGCCGAGACGGGTGGATCACGAGGTCAGGAGATCGAGACCATCCTGGCTAACACGGTGAAACCCCGTCTCTACTAAAAAATACAAAAAACTAGCCGGGTGAGGTGGCGGGCGCCTGTAGTCCCAGCTACTCGGGAGGCTGAGGCAGGAGAATGGCATGAACCCAGGAGGTGGAGCTTGCAGTGAGCTGAGATCGCGTCACTGCACTCCAGCCTGGGCGACAGAGCGAGACTCCGTCTCAAAAAAAAAAAAAAAAGAATTTTACTTTCACAAATTTTATTTTCTGGAAGATGGAACCAGGGTCTCCCCAAAGCCTATACACTATCAAAAGAATCTCAGCATCTTAGTAGCCACTGCTCGAGGTAACAATTGAAGCCCCTCTTTCGATCGCTTGGAACTCTGAACTCACCTGTTGACAGATATTTGCTCTATTTTTCTTTAACAGTTCAGAAGAGTGTTCATCTTCCCTTTGCTTAGTGGAAGGGGTACTCTTTTGGTGTGATTCAGTTTCTCTTTGGGGAGGCTGGATGCATTTGTCACACTTAAATTCTGCATTTGGGGTCAATTGCACGGTCTCTTCCTTTTCACAGTTCTGCTTAAAAAGGAGCCTTCCATTGGCAATGACAATGGAGGCAAACCTCTTGATGTCTTCTGGAAGCATCCGTGCCACCATGACAAACCTCTCAAGGTCATCTGGGCTGTTCTGGACATTGTCAGTCACAAGAACTTCCAGAGGCCAATTGCGATTATCCAAGCTTTCCTTTGTTTCAAGCAGGATGCGGTAGGAGTTAGAGATTGTCCGCATCTGGTCCCGAATTCTGTTCTGAAGGTTACTGTCAGTGAGGTTACAGGCAGTCCCATGGACTCCTCGGGCAAAATCCAGAAATTCTCTTACAGATTCTTCTATGTGCTCAGTGGACCTGTGGATTGCATCAATGTTGGCCTCCAGATAGTCTCGGAATCTCCACTTCCTACTGACAAAGAGCATCAGGCCAGCAACAGAGCTGACCACCTTGTGCTGCAGAGACATCACTGTCTCCTTGGCCACATCCAGGTCCAAGGAGAGCTCCTTTGCTGACTCCTCCGAGGAAGAGCTGGAGGAGGAGTCGGTGGATGTGGTGGAGCACGAAGAAACGATGCTGGCTCTGCTGTCAGAACTGGAACCTGATAATCTGTCCAGTTCAGGAGATCGGGAAGCTGTCCGTCTGCAGAACCATGAGGAATTATGGCCTGTGGAATTCTCTGGCACCTCCTTGGCTTTCGCCAGCTCCTTCCCAGCCTGAGAAACACTCGATATTGCTTTAGGGATGTCATAAATATTGGGCTTGGTGTTCTGCTCTTCCACTCGGGGAATCAGAAAGCTTGAAGGAACCTTGTAGCTGACATCTTCATCCAAAGGAAATGTGTCTCTGGGTACAAGAAAGCCATAAGAAGGAATTTCTGGAAGACTGAGTTTTTTCTGCATGGGCACATTGGTATTCAGTTGTGGAGTGAGGGACCTGGCTCTGCCACTTGGAGGATTGTGGAAAGTGGAGCCGGAACTGGGGAGAGCGTGGGGCCTTGATTCTTCTGCAAAGGTGGGGAGAGGCGTGTTTCTGACGCCGGCCTTTCCTGGAGACACTGGAGTGTCATAAACCCATTCCGATTTCTGAGGACTTGGTAATGTGCTGTAGCCGCCTTTTCTTAAGGTAGTCACTGATATCAGGGGAACACCCTGCCCCTGTAGAAGAACCACACATAGTTGCCCGGGTTAGTAGCTTTCAAAAGAAGGTACGAGTGCCTCGTTTAAATCTCATCGTCACTTCCCCGCTCAAGTTCCTTCAGTGGCTCCCCATTTCCACTCAAGGTCCTTCACAATTCTTTTGAGCCTCATTTCTTTCCACTTCCACCACGCTAACCCCACCTTGACTGCCACCATCTGCTTACAGGTCCAGCCACCCAAGCTGTTTACTTTTCCCTGAACTCAGAACACTGACTTGTGCCACTGTATTTCATTTTACCCAAACTGGTTTCTCGTCTCTAAAAGCCCTTGCAACCCTTTCTTTTCCATCCACCAAACTTCTATGCATCCCCCTGACACGGCTGAAATGCCAGCTTTCTTGTAAGATGTTCCCTAATGACCTTGGGTGTAAGCATGTCTGTAGGACACATGTGGTAGAATCCAAGTATAAACATAGATCACACAGATTTCAAATAAAGTCATTCGCCCAATACAGATAAGAGTGTACTGTATCACAGCACCCCCCTGAGGTCTGTCATAATAAGAAGCCATTACACAATTTTGCTCTGTGCCAGGCACTGTCCCAGGTCCTTTGCAGGATTATCTTTCTTAATACTCTCAGCCCATAAAAACAGAGAATTTAAAAGACTTATCCCAAACCACATAATTAGTCCTATTCCTGAACACAAACTCAATGAGAGGTTTTACCTCAAATGCAGTAAGGTCTCTGTTATGAGGAATTTGCATTCTAATTTTTGACCAAGCTAATAACATCTTTTTTTCTTTTCTTTTTTTTTTTTACTTTTATATTTTAGTAGAGACAGGGTTTCACCATGTTGGCCAGGCTGGTCTTGAACTCCTGACCTCGAGTGATCCACCCACCTCAGCCTCCCAAAGTGCTGGGATTACAGGCGCCTGCTACCACGCCTGGCCAACATTTGTGTTTTTAGTAGAGATAGGGTTTCGCCACGTTGGCCAGGCTGGTCTCAAACTCCTGACCCCAGGTGATCCACTCGCCTCAGTCTCTCAAAGTGCTGGGATTACAGGCTTGAGCCACTGCACCTGGCCCCAAGCTAATAACATTTCTGAGAGGATTTTTATGTGTTCATGACACCGCACCTTAGCACCTCTTCATACTTACACTTGCTTGGCCGGCTGGGGGATGGAGTCCTGCCTTCTTGGGGCTGGCTGGTATGTCGTATAGCTGCTGCTTCTCTGGCTCCTGGGGAAAGACCACAAAGGCAGACCACTTGACTGTTTCTTTCCTAATGGCTACACATCACGAACGCCGCCTATTCTAGTGTTTTTCCCCAAAGGAAGACACAAATTCCCGAAGACTTTTTGGTGCTTTTGGTCATGATGCTCTCTGGTGGAAATCTAGGTGACGGGTCCCCAACCTTCCTCGTCTGAGGCAGTGCAGGGGACATTACAGTCCTAAGTTCTTCTCATAACAGGGTATACATTCAACATTGGACTTTGTGCTTTAAGAAGAGACTTCTCGGCTGGGCGCAGTGGCTCACGCCTATAATCTCAACACTTGGGGAGGCTGAGGCGGGCGGATCACCTGAGGTCGGGAGTTCGAGACCAGCCTGGCCAACATGGTGAAACCCTGTCTCTACTAAAATATAAAAGTTAAAAAAAAAAAAAAAGATGTTACTAGCTCGGTCAAAAATGAGCCTGGCCAACATGGAGAAATGCTGTCTCTGTTGAAAATACAAAATTAGCCTGGCGTGGTGGCGCATGCCTGTAATCCCAGCTACTCGGGAAGCTGAGGCAGGAGAATTGCTTGAACCCAGGAGGTGGAGGTTGCGGTAGGCCGAGATCGCACCATTGCACTCCAGCCTGGGCAACAGGAGCGAAACTCCATCTCAAAAAAAAAGACTTCTCAACCAAAGGTTGCGGGGGGAGGGGGGGCGCGGGGCAGGGGCAACAGAGCCTAATTTAAGCAGTTGCCTAAATTAAAAATGGTAATTTATCTTAAGTTCATCTTAAAATTAAGCCAGAGGATAAATGAGATTGAGACCCAGTATGTCTTCTTTCTTTTTCTCAGTAGAAATTTTCCTGTGTTTATCACTCATATGTATTCTGCAAATATTTAATGAGTGCCCACTAATGACCAGACACTAAGCTAGATGACACTGTGCACATCACGAGAGCAATAGAAACAGGGTGTGAGAGACTCATTTGATAAATGTGCATCTTAGCAATGACCTAAGTGCCAGGCATGGTGCTTCCTAAAAATCTGATTGTCACTCCCCTGCTCAAACTCCTTCAGTGGCTTGAGATATGTATATGATATAACATTTAATATATATAACGTGTACAGTAATTACAAAACATATATATTAGGATACAAAAAACAGGTTACAAATTCCAAAGCAAGGCAAGAGAGCACCAAAACAGGTTTTGCAAATAAAGAGAGAAATAGTTGGACACTGGAAGGTTTCTTTAGAGGGAGTTGGGCTATGAGTCTCCTGAGGGCTCTCCTCGGCTGGGAAATGGGGTGCAGTGTAGTGGGGGTTGCCTTTCACTCCCCAAAAACAAACCACCAAGTGCTCCCATGGGATCATTCAATGACTTGAGTTGTCTCCCCTGAGCTTGGGGTCACAGTGGACTGGGGCTGACTCTGGCTTGGGAAAGGAGAAGAGAGAGGGGTGGCAGCCATGCCCTGGATGGCCAGTTCTCAGGGTCAGAGTGGCACCGTGCTGTGGTTGGCCTGTTCTCAGGGTCAGGACCAGGGGGAGGAGAGCAAAGCAGTTACCTTGGGCACAACATTAAGAGGGCACCAAAAAAACTCAGTCATCAAGGTAAATACTATTTAAAATGCAATATTTTAAAAAATCATAATGCAAAAAAAATCATGAACAAAATGTCACACTTTTACATAAAGACAGGGTCTAGTGGGGCTGGGATTAGGGCAAGGTGAGTGAAGTGAGTCATACAAGTGTGTCTTCATTGATAACTTTTGTTTGTTTTTTTGAGACAGAGTCTCACTCTGTGGCCCGGGCTGGAGTGCAGTGGCACGATCTCAGCTCACTGCAAACTCCGCCTCCCGTGTTCACGCCATTCTCCTGCCTTCAGCCTCCCATGTAGCTGGGATTACAGGTGCCTGCCACCATGCCCAGCTAATTTTTGTATTTTTAGTAGAGAAAGGGTTTCGCCATGTTGGCCAGGCTGGTCTCAAACTCATCTGACCTCAGATGATCCTCCCGCCTCAGCCTCCCAAAGTGCTCGGATTACAGGCGTGAGCCCCCGCGCCCGGCCCATTGATAACTTTTGCACCCAAAGCAAGCGCCTGTGTTCCTGGAGTCTATCATGGCAAAGGGAGCTTGTGTGTTTGTCATGGACCGGGCATGGCTCACACAAGAGCTGGAGCAAGAGCCAGGGAGGAATGGCTCGGGGAATCTCAGGAGGATGTGGCTGGATGTGGAGGATGTGACCTGCTTGCCCCAGAGCTAAGGGGGGAGCCAGCAGCCAGAGGAGGCGCATTTGTCCACTTGGAGGGACTTACAGGTAAGAGATGCTCAGCAAGGAGGTGAGGGGTAGGAGGTGGGGGGCAGAGGACATGGCACTTACACGAATGCCCCAGAAGAGAAAGAATCAGCTTGCCACACTGGCCACTGCTATTAGCACCCCTGCCAACAGAACCAGGTGAGCAGGGCCTTTCTCCCTGCCTGCCTCTTGCAGCCCTGCAGGAGTCTGAGACCATCCAGTGAGTGAGAAAGGGTAGAAAACTGAGATGGCGAAACAGCAGATAACTTAGGCAGGTCCAAGCCGGGCAGCAGGAGCTTTGGCTTTAAATGAACTAGAAAGTTTGCTTATTGCCTAGACAATTAAAGTCCTCAACTGACCTGGCGAGGCTAAAATGACCTTTTTTCAAATTTTTGATTTTTTTTTTTTTCCAGTCAGAGTCTTGCTCTGTCATCCAGATTGGAATGCAGTGGTGTGATCTCGGCTCATTGTAACCTCCACCTCCCGGGTTCAAATGATTCTCTCGCCTCAGCCTCCCTACTAGCTGGGACTACAGGCATGAACCACCATGCCCAGCTAATTTTTGTATTTTTAGGAGAAACGGGGTTTCACCATGTTGATGAGCTGGTCTCGAACTCCTAGCCTCAAGTGATCCTCCCGCCTTGGCCTCCCAAAGTGCTGGGATTATAGTCGTGAGCTGCTGCGCCTGGCCGCAAGTGACTTATTACCTGTGAGTGTCCAGGAAGTCACAGAGCCTGCTTGGAATTCTATTTGGACAGGAACTGTTGTTCTAAATCCTGGCTTCATAGTACAATCACCTGAGAGCTTTTAAAAATCCCGATGTTTGGGCCCCACCTAGACCTGATTCCACAGTCTCTGGGGTTGGGGCACAGGCACCAGGACAGCTAAAGCTCTCAGATGCTTTCGCATTCAACAGAGGTTGGGAGCTACTGATCTCAGTAGCAGATGGGTGGGGAGAACGCCACTGCAGAGCATTTGGGTGGGCTAAGAAAGGAGCAAAACTATTTTTTGATCACATGAAGCATGTCTTACAAATTTGGTGTTCCACTTATATAAAAACAAGTTAAAAAAAAAAAAAACTAAAATTTCTTTCCCCAGAGATAATCAATGTTAAGATAATCAATGATAATCCATGATAAGACTGTGGTGCATATCCTTCAAAACACCATTTTAAAAAATGTGTGTGTGTATATGTACACACATACATACATTAAATATCTATTATAAATAATAGCTGGGCATGGTGGCTTATGCCCATAATCCCAGCACTTTGGGAGGCTGAGATGGGGGGGATTGCTTGAGGCCAGGAGTTCGAGACCAGCCTGGTCAACATAGCAAGACCCCATCTCAAAAAGAAAGAGAAAAAACAATCTATTATAAATGAAAAGTAAAAATTTCAAAATATTCGGAACTCAAGTAGTCACAATGTTTTCTAGAGCAGGACTGGGCTCCATGGGTAAAAAGGAGTGGTGGCCTCTGAGTGGTGATGTGAATTCTGGAGGCTGAGCCCCTGGCCTCCATGGTAATGCTGAAATGCAATGTGGGTGTGAGGTCAAGAACCCCAGACTCTGGGCGCAGAGGTCTGGGTGATGCGGGGCCCCAGAACAAGGCTCACCTTCAGGACCACGGGGCCCCGGTGCTGGGTAGGCACATCGTACACCTGGGAAGGCAGAGTCGGCAGTGAGGCCTGGGTAGGTCTGGGAAGCGTGATGATGGCCTTGGAGAGAAAGGAGGAGAGCAGAGGAAAAGGAAATGTCACTCTGATGATCACAATCAGGTTCAAAGTCATCTCCCCAAAAGCAGAGACAGGTGGGTGGACACTGCTGAGGGAGTCACCTGGCACCCCCGATGGCAGGCTCTTCACTCTCAAGACAGCAGGGTACGGGTGGGAGGCTCCCTGGTGGAGGCAGCCTTCCTCGCAGGTGGCCCACGATCTCCTGCATCTGCCTCACCTGGGAAGTTCACCGGAAGCAGGTTAACATGCATATTCTTGGGCCCATGCGGGTTGGACGGAGTCTCTAGGTGTTGAGTGGGGGCCAGGAACCTGCAGCGTTAACAAGCTTGCCAGGTGATTCTGATGTCCTCTAGCGACCAGGAGGCTGTGACTCTGATACTGGGCTATTCATCTGCATTCATCAAGCGAGGCTGAGGCTGGAGACGTGCATGCAATAGGCAGAGGGGACCTTAAGAATGTAAGGTGGAGGGACCAACAAGGTCTGGGAGGAAACTGCGGCCTGAGAGCTGTCTAAGGACTCGTCACCTGGGCTGAGGAAGGGAAGCAGGAGGTGACCAGATGAGCTGCAGCTGGCAGCTTTTGCTGGCAGCAGTGGGAGGCAGAAGAGAACCTGGCAATGTGAAAGTGATGGAGAGGAGTGAGGGAGGGGAGGAGGGAGGGATGGAACGGGAAAGGTTAACAGGGAGCAGGTCAGTTAAGGAGTTTGAATTTTATCCTACAAAGGATGGGATTGACCATCCAATTTATATATGTATACCTTTTTTTTTTTTTTTTTTTTTTTTTTTAGGTGGAGTTTCACTCCTGTTGCCCAGGCTGGAGTGCAATGGCGTGATCTCAGCTCACTGCAACCTCTGCCTCCTGGGTTCAAGAGATCCTCTTGCCTCAGCCTCCTGAGTAGCTGGGACTACAGGCACGCACCACCACGCCAGGCTAATTTTGTGTTTTTAGTAGAGACAAGGTTTCACCGTATTGGTCAGGCTGGTCTTGAACTCCCGACCTTAGGTGATCCGCCCACCTTGGCCTCCCAAAGTGCTGGGATTACAGGCATGAGCCACTGCGTTCGGCCCCGATTTATATTTTATTGAGAGCACTTGGCCAGTTATTGCTCAAGCCATTTTGGGAAACATGGTCTCAGCCATGGAGCCTGGGTCTGTGAATGGGAATTTCAGATTCAAGTTAGTCCTCCAGAGCTCAATGATGTCGGCTCAATGGTGGGTACCACACTGGGTGCCACAGAGCAGCTTCCGAACCCAGCCAGGGATCCGAGTCCCCTAGGGAATTTTAAAATAATACAGCTGCCAAGGCTCCCACCCAGACCTCCTGAACTAGAACGTCTCTACAAGCGGCCTAGGAATGAGCGATATTTTCTAGAGTAGAGGATGCTGTCTACCCCGGGCTTAAAGTCTAAGAGGGAAATGAGGTCTGAGCACACCAAGGACACAGTCTGGGAAGCGAGACAGGGCCTGGAGTCCAGGACAGGGAGAATGTACTTCCCACCGGGGTCCCAAGGAGCTGTTGCTGAGTAGGGGGCTTTCTAAGTTGGCTCAGGGGGTGGTTAGGGTTTCAATGTGCGGAGCTGAGGGAGGGGAATGCAGGCAGAGGAGCAGTTTCTGAGGACTGGGTGTCCCGAGGATGCAGCACTGGGAATGTACGTGCTAGATTTATCTGTTTGTTTTTGGTGAGTGGATGCGTACGGCTTGGATGGTAAACATTAGCACACAGTGTAAAAACCCACCCTGCCATTCACCTGGCTAGACTCGCGGACACAGATAAAGAAGCTGCAATGCAAACAGGATGAACATTTCTTCCAAGGACACGCTGCAGCTGTCACATGTCAAAACAGCCCCCTTCGTTGAGTGACGACTGCTTTCTTACTCCCTGAAAAACTTGGTTCCCTAAAATCCTAGGCTCTGGAAGCACAGCTCTCCAAAGTGCTATCAGTAAGAATGAAACATCCCACTCTCGTCTGGGGGATCCGAGTCATTGACAGAGAAGCAGCCTTGATTCCCAGGCCCTCATGTAGCACCTCAGACAAGGGGTTTCCGGGCCCAGCACTTCTCATCTATCTCCGCTTGCTTTGTGGTTCCCCAGGGGAGAGTGGCCCTCGTCCAGCCTGCACACTGCCCTGTTTTGCCCAGAGCCTATTAAGACACAGCTTCGCTTAGATTTCACCTAAACCCCGCCTTTCCCCATCCCATCATGATGCTGTTTTCCTGTTTGTGAGCTGCCTCGTGGTTCCTCTGCTCTGTGATCTTCTTTAGGCTCAGTAAACCTGACTTTGTTCCTGGTGGTCTCGGGCTGATTGGTCTAGGTGGACAAGCCCATCAGTGGTTTCCCATTGCATTTTGAATGAAATCCAAGCTTTTTTTTTTTTTTTTTTTGGAGACGTAGTCTCACTCTGTCATCTAAGCTAGAGTGCAGTGGTGCCATTTTGGCTCACTACCACGTCCGCCTCTCGGGTTCAAGTGATTCTCCTGCCTCAGACTCCTGAGTAGCTGGGATTTTTTGTATTTTTAGTAGAGACAGGATTTCACCATGTTGGCCAGGCTGGTTTTGAACTCCTGACCTCAAGTGATCCACCTGCCTCAGCCTCCCAAAGTGGAAGGATTACAGGCGTGAGCCACTGCACCAGGTCAGAAATCCAAGCTTCTTACCCGATCTGACAGGCTATGCCCCCGCCAAACCCAGGGACCTTGTGTCCTGGACCACAGGCTGTCACCTCCCTCCCAGCTCTCAGTTATTTGAACACACCAAGCTTTCTCCACCCACAGACCCTTTCCAAATGCTGTCCCAAGGCCTATTCCTCCCCATGGCTTCAGGCCCATTTTATTTTGATGGCTGACTGTGGGGTCCTCTATGCCTATAAGGGCAAGTCCACAGAGCAAAGGGACTTTCCTGTGCATGACATTTCAGATGAAAGGAAGCCAGCTCAAAAATGCCCGGTGCTTCTTGGAAAACGTAGGCCCAGTCCCAGTATGGTGATCAATTAAGGAACACGTTTGAGAAACATGGTTTCGAAAGGTTTAGGGAGACAGAAGGAAACTCCAGTTCAGGAACTAGTGGATCCAAGAGCAGTTTCATCAGGAAACTGGCCCTTTTCTCTTGAAATACAAGAGTTCCTTCTAAACTTAAACTGAAATCAAATATGTTCTTGATGTGGTGTTTTTTTTTTGTTTTTTGTTTTTTTTTTTTAAATTAGGCCAGCACAGTATATTAAGGAAGTTGGGATAAAAAATAAAACAAAGCTCAAAATAGTGGTTACCCTAGTGGGGAAGTGACAGAGAGAAGGCACTGGAGGCTTCTGGGGTGCTAGTTTTGTTGTTTCGTGGTCTGGATATAAGTTACTGATCTGTCACTGAGCATCTCTAGGTGAAATTTCAATAAAGTGTTCATCAGAAAGAATAGTGTCAGTCACAGAGTCAGGTGAAAGAAGATCAAGGAATAAGGGCTCTGTTTTGGGGGGTGATGGAAGTTGTCCTTCATCAGCTGTGTGACTGCACGAGCAGTTTCACCTCCCTGGGAATTAATGTCCTCATTTGTAAAATGAAGGTTTGTTCTAATCTAAAGATATGCAGAGATCTCACCCAGCGATAGAGATGTCTCATTCTGACATATAGACGCCTCTCTTAGGACAACTTGGGAAAAATGACATGTTTCCACCTTGTCGGACGTTAATTTGGGGCCACTCTTAGTCTACAGACTGTCAACACAGATATAAAAAGGAGTCCGTGAAATGCCTCACAAAAGGCTGTGTTCCAAGCCTGCGAAGTTACCTTGGGAAAACAGTTCAAAACCAGTGGCTCAGAGTTGCCCAGTCTACCACCAGTCACTTCCATTTGGAATGTATTTTCTGGGCAGTTTAGCCTCAGGGTTAATGGTTAGATGACCTGAGCAGGGAGGAGATGCCTGCTTTTTCTGTGGATCAGAAAATCCTTAACTGATTGTTAACTGGTCTTCAAGTTCTTCCAGCTCCTTCCTTCTCAGAGTAGAGGAAGAAGAGAAGTATTTAGAAAAACCAAAACGTACAACTGAAGGTGATTTTAGAAAAGATGGGGTCCAACCTTCTCCCAATACAGAGGAGGAAGGAGAAACACAGAGGGTGTTGGGAGGTCCCCAATCACCCAGTGCAACATTGGCTGCCCCAGAAGCCAAGTGAGATGGCATTCCTGACTTGTAAGCCACAGACCACATCTCTTGCTGAGAGACTTCAAGCACAGAGAGGCAAGAAATTAAAAATTATTATTATTTTTTGAGACGGAGTTTTCCTCTTGTCACCCAAGCTGGAGTGCAGTGGTGTGATCTCAGCTCACTGCAACCGTCACTTCCTGGGTTCAAGTGATTCTCCTGCCTCAGCCTCCTGAGTAGTTGGGACTACAGGTGTGCACCACCACATATGGCTAATTTTTGTATTTTTAGTAGAGATGGGGTTTCACTATGTTGGCCAGGTTGGTCTCAAACTCCTGACCTCAGGTGATCCACCTGCCTCGGCCTCTCAAAGTGCTGGGATTACAGGTGTGAGCCACCGTATCCAGCCAAGAAATTAAAACAATTTTTAAGTAAATAGGCTGGGTGCAGTGGCTCACTCCTGTAATCCCAGCACTTTGGGAGGGCGAGGTGGGCAGATCACCTGAGGTCAGGAGTTCGAGACCAGCCTGGCCAACATGGCAAAACTCTGTCACTACTAAAAATACAAAAAAAAAAAAAAAAAGAAAGAAAAAGAAAAATTAGCCAGTCGTGGTGGTGGGAGCCTGTGTTCCCAGCTACTTGGGAGGCTAAGGCAGGAGAATCTGTTGAACCCAGGAGGCGAAGATTGCAGTAAGCCTAGATCACGCCACTGCACTCCAACCTGGGTGACAGGGCGAGACTCAAAAAAATTTTTTTTTTTTAAGTAAGTAAATAGGAAGTGAGGGAAGGAAGGGAGCAAACTTGTAGGTAGGGCAGACATGGAGGGAACTTAAGGAAGGAAAACAAGGCAGGAAATTCCCCCAGGGGGTTTTACTGTGGCCGCCTTGAGAACCCTGCTCAGTGGTTAAAGGGACCCCCCCGAATTTCCTTGTGGTTTCTGTTGTTTGCTGCAGCCTCCACAAGCAAGGGCTCAAATGGTTGATACACTTAACATCGATGGTTGATGCACTTAATGTCAAGGACAAATCTCATTGCTGATGCCCTGATCATTTTTCAAAGTTAACTTTCAATAGTAAACTCATCTTTCCTTTCACACGGATGTCAATCTAGCAGTTGATAGCGGACTCCACATTTTTGAAACCTTATGTTGTGTTTGGTCAATTTCGTTCATGCAACAGATATTTACTGAGTACCTTGTAGGAGCCTGGCACTGTATTGAGTGGCATGAGCAGGGAGGAGGTGCCAGCCTTTTCTGTGCATCCGAAAACCCTTAACTGGTTGTTAACGGGTCTTTGAGTGTCCCCTGGTCAACCGTCAGAGGACAGCGCATCTGTTTTCCTTTCTGGGAGAGGAAGGAATTGCTATTGATTTTTTTGTTTTTTCCTTTCATGGCTTTGGAAGAAATTCAAATTAACTTCAGCTAATGGCACTTGTTCTTGAAAGAAGCCTCAGCAAAGCCCTGCTCTGAGTCAGCTGCTCAGACAGCAGCTGAGCATGCCAGGCCTAGATTGGGGCCAGTTGTTCCAGAAAGAGCGTTAGTGTCCACCTCGTCGACTGATTCAGAAGGCTCCACCAGCTTCCTCCTGGTGTTTGTAACAAGCGCCTGTGCTGGCAGCTGTTCTATGTAACAACTGTCTGGTTCTATGTCTTGTAGCCCAGGGAGTTAGCAAATGTAAAGTATTCAAAATCTTCTAAGGAATCAACACCTTCCTGTTTGAAGACCACCTTGGAAGCTGGTGTGGAGAAGGCCTGAATGGTGAGTAGCACATTCCTAGGGCCCCCACAGCACATGCATCGGGGAGAGTGGCCTTTCCCTGCACACAGACCTTGCCAAGACCCTCTGCCAGAGCTGTGGCCAGGTGGGAAGTGTCATAGGAGCTGAAAGCAAAGCATCTGATGGCAGGAAATGCCTGCAGTGACTGAGGCCTGTGCACATCTGCTCTGCATCTCAACACCTCATGAAGGCCAGGGCTTTGGGGGAAAGAGCACATTCTTTTTCTCCTTCCTTACTTTAATTCTTTTCCTTATTAAAAAAAGTTCTCATTCTGCATTTGTTTTATTATTTTTAAAGACAGGGTTCCAGTCAGTCACCCAGGCTGGCGTGCTGGGGCACCATAATAATAGCTCTCTGCAGCTTCAATCTCCTGGGCTCAAAAGGTCCTCCTGCCTCAGCCTCCTGAATAGCTGGGACTATAGGTGCCTGCTGCCATGCCTGCTGCCAGGCCTGCCTAATTATTTTTTATTATTAGTAGTAAAGATGAGGTCTCACTATGTTGCCCAGGCTAGTCTCAAACTCCTGGGCTCAAGCGATCCTCCTGCCTTGGCCTCCCAAACTGCTGGGATTACAGGAATGAGCCACCAAGCCTAGCCCATTCTACATTTAATGAATGCTCTTTTTCCTCTGTTTTTAAAAATTGATACTTTAGGCCAGGCATGGTGGCTCACACCTGTAATCCCAGCACTTTGGGAGGCTGAAGCAGGAGGACTGCTGCAGGCCACGAGTTCGAGGCTGAAGAGAACAGTGATTGTACCACTGCATTCCAGCCTGGGAGACAGAGCAAGACCCAGTCTCAAAAAAACAAACCAATTGATATTTTAAAAAATTACGGATGTCATACATGTTCAATATGACATAAAAATCAACTTCCTAATTTGTTTGTTTGTCAGATATGTATCGAGCACCTACCCCAGGCCAGACCTGGTCCCAGGTGCTGGGGACACAGGAGTGAATAAAATAAAGGCCCCAGCTTACTGCCCTCTTTCACTTTCTCTTTAACCAGTTCCCCTTTTTGGGGTAACTATCCCTGGAGCGTGTTCTTCTCAGTCTCAGTGTGAGAGCACGCATGCATACACACACTCATATATAGAATTCCTTTTTAGAGTTTTTTGTTTGTTTGTTTTTGAGATGGAGTTTCACTCTTGGCGCCCAGGCTGGAGAGCAATGGTGCGATCTCAGCTCACTGCAACTTCTGCTTCCCAGGTTCAAGTGATTCTCCTGCCTCAGTCTCCTGAGTAGCTGGAATTACAGACGCCTGCCACCATGCCTGGCCAATTTTTTGTATTTTTAGTGGAGACGGAGTTTCACTATGTTGGCCGGGCTGGTCTCGAACTCCTGACCTTGTGATCTGCCCGCCTTGGCCTCCTAAAGTGCTGGGATTACAGGAATGAGCCATTGCACCCTGCCTCTTTTTTGAGTTTATATCTGTTTGGTTTTTGTTTAAATAGATCTTTCTTTCCTCTTATAAATACCTCATCTTTTTTTTTTTTTTCAGCTGCACAGCAGCTTGCTGTGGTGATGTGCCAAGATATGTATAACCAATCCAACTGTTAATAAATATTTAGGCCTTTTTGAGTTTTCTATGCCATAATGGCTACAGCCTCCTCATCCAGACGTATATTTGCCTGCTTGTATATTTCCATAGCAGTTCTAGAAATAAAATTTCTGCATTGAAGGGGATATACTTTTTTTTTTTTTTTAAGACAGGTTCTCACTGTCACCGAGGCTGGAGTACAGTGGCACAGTCATAGCTCACTGCAGCCTCGACCTCCTGGGCTCAACCGATCTTTCTGCCTCATCCTCCCACTGAGTAGTTGGGACTACAGGTGTGTGCCACTATGCTGGCTAATTTTTAAATTTTTGGTAGAGACAGGGTCTCACTATGTTGCCCAGGCTGGTCCCAAACTCTGAGTTCAAATGATCCTCGTGTCTCGTCTTCCCAAAGTACTGGGAATATAGATAGGTTCAAGCCACCGTGCCCAGCCTGGAATATACATGTTAAACGTGATGTATAACTTCTTGCCTCTGAACCCATGGAAACCCCACCCTGCTGTTTGTCACTGGGAGTCCTGGTGACCCTTCATCCTGTGAAAAGGCCGCCATGAACATCTCCAGTGCCTTCCCACACAGCTCAGCTGAGCGTTCCATTTCCCACAGACTGCGCCCAGCCTTGGAGAGCTGGGGAATCACAGCGGGGGCAAGGGTGTCAACGACAAGCGGGTGGAGGCCCCTGAGTTCTCCATCCCAACCTGGCACACAAGCTCCCCGAGCGTGATCGCCAGCGATCTGGGCTCCCATTTTGCATGTTTGATCTGGAGGACACTCATGACTCTGCATGTTCGATCTGGAGGACACCCATGACTCAAGGGGTAGTTAGGCCCCTGGGTGTTTCCATACCCCTCAACCCATGTCTAGTAGTTGGAAGTATGCGTACCTGTTTTGGAAAGCTGAGAGTCTTTTCACAGATGATTCTGGCACTGGTGGGAGGGTCGGGGAATTCATAGACTTGGGCAGAAGGGGGCTGGGGCCCCTCCACCCAACTCCTCATGTGCTCATAAACGGGGCCTGGAGTGGGAGGGCAGGGCAGAGTGGGCACCTGATAGGTCTCCTCTGAGCTGGCAGGAGCTTCTTCCAGGCCTCTCAGGAATGAGGGGCATGGCCTGTCTGCAGTGACCTCCGTGAGGATTTGGAGGCGGTTGGCAGGGGCCAGACCTTGCCTTCCGTGGAGCAAACACTTCCACCAACCCTCGCTTTCTGGTACGTGTTGCTCCAGAATGGTCAGGATGTCCCCTCTGCTGAAAGCCAGCTCATCAGAGCAGTCAGGGCAGTTGTCATAAAGCGCCCTGGCCAGGAGTGCCTGCGGGTGGAGAGGGGAGAAGAGAATCTGCTGTTAGCACCATGGCCAGTGACCGCTACACCAGTCCCACTCACTTAGAAAGCTTAATGCAAATTCATAATGCCCTTTCATTTCATTTCTTTCACCCCAGAGGCTCTTGTCCCTGCTCTTTGCCTGATTTGTTCCTTCACGTCCTTGGGGTCTAATGAAATGTCACATCCTCAGGGCAGACTTCCCTGCATCCTGAGACGAGGTTGCATGGTCCTAATATGCTTTCATGGCCCTGTTTGTTTATGGTTTTGAGACAGGGTCTCACTCTGTTGCCGAGGCTGGAGTGCAGTGGTGAAATCTTGGCTCACTGCAGCCTCGACTTCCCAGGCTCAGGCAGTTCTCCCACCCCAGCCTCCCAAGTAGCTGGGACTACACACGCGTGCCACCACACTGGGCTAAATTTTGTATTTTTGTAGAGAAGGGGTTTTGTCATTGCTCAGGCTGGTTTCCAACTCCTGTGTCACAGCGCTGTTTTAATTTGTGGACGTCATGACCTTTGCATATATACATATACGTATATATACGTATATAACATATATACATATATGTATATGTATATACATATACATATGTGTATATATGTTTATGTATGTACATATGTGTATATGTATGTGTATATATGTATCTGTATGTATATATGTGTATATATGTATCTATGTATATATGTATACACACATATATACATATATACACATACTATATATGATGGGTTGATACATATATGTATACCACATATATCCTATATATATAGCAGTCCATTATATATTGTGTATACATATGGGTGTCTCTTTCTCTGTCATGTACAGGTGCCTGGCATTTAGTAAGTGCTTGGTACAGGCAGCTGTGACTGTCATTACTATTAGGTCGCTTTTTGTCTGGTTTTTGCTATTTTCCTTCTGAATTGGATTGGCAGTTCTGTGACTGCTGGGCCCACATCTCACTTGGCTATTCTGTCCCCAGTGTCAGGCCCAGGCCCAGGTACACAGAAGATGCTCAATACATGTTCATTAATAAGTGAACGGCAAGAGACTGGGCGCAGTGGTTCAAGCCTGTAATCCCAGCACTTTGGGAGGCCGAGGAGGGCAGATCACTTGAGGCCAGGAGTTCAAGACCAGCCTGACCAACATGGTGAAACCCTGTCTCTACTAAAAATACAAAAATTAGCGGGGCATGATGGTATGTGCCTGTATTCCCAGCTACTTGGGAGACTGAGGCAGGAAAATCGCTTGAACCCTGGAGGCAGAGGTTGCAGTGAACCGAGATCATGCCACTGCACTCCAGCCTGGGCAACAGAGCGAGACTCCATCTCAAAAACAGAACAAAACAAAACAAAAACTAGTGAATGACAAAAGACTCAGGAGGTTAGTGACTTGCCTGTGGTCACAAAGCCAGGATCAAACCCAGTCTCCTAATTCTCTGACCTACGCTCTTTCAGTAAGCCACACAGTTCTAAAACAAATCACCTCGTTACCATGGCAGTGATGGCTGAGCCCCCTTCTTGTTTGAACTTTCCACTGTAATTACATGAAGGCAACTTGTTTCTTGAGGTTTTAAAGTAATCACCTTTCCCCACCTTTTTATATCAATACATGTTCATTACAGAAAAAGAGAGAAATAAAAGAAGGAAATGAAAATTACCCATAATCCCAGCACTCAGAGATGCCAATTTACACCATTTTTGGTATTTACCCTTCCAGCGGTTTTTTATTTTCTAAATAAATGTAATTACACCTTTTAAACTCATTAACCTTTGTTCACACGGTTCATAAATAAAGCAAAAGTAACCAACTCTCCCATTATATTTGTTGAAAATTATTGTGCTTCTTGCCTAATATTTCTATTCTGTTACATAAATGGAATTGGAAGACCAACTGCTGATAAAAACCGTCTTAACCAGACAAGCAGGTCTGTGTGGATTTGGGGAAACACCACCACAAGTCTATCTAAAAATCGTAAGTAGAATCAGATCCTTCACGCACCCAGAGAGACATTGAACGTCCCCCACAAAATCTAATACAGCTGAGATCCTAGGAGATCATGAACAATTTTTGTAAAGAAAACCTTTTGTTCTTTCTGCAAAAGTCATACAAGTTCATTAAAGAAAAAGTAAAAATGATAATAAGCAAACAGAAGAAAATGAAAATGCCTGCAGTGCCACCACCACAGGTAACTGCTGTTAATCCTTTGGTTTTTGTATCTTTCCAGATCTTTTCTTTGGCATAGTTGTCCACATACACACCTACAGTCATCGTTAAAGTTTTAAAACCTAATGGCATAATATGAAACACACTGTTTCATAATCTGCTTTTTTCCCCCACTTAAAAATAAATTGTGGGACCGGGTGTGGTGGCTCACGTCTGTAATCCCAGCACTTTGGGAGGCCAAGGTGGGCGGATGACAAGGTCAGGAGTTTGAGACCATCCTGGTCAATATGGTGAAACCCCGTCTCTACTAAAAATACAAAAGTTAGCTGGGCGTGGTGGCGTGCACCTGTAGTCCCAGCTACTTGGGAGGCTGAGGCAGAAGAATCACTTGAACCTGGGAGGCAGAGGTTGCAGTGAACTGAAATGGTGCCACTGCACTCCAGCCTGGGCGACAGAGTGAGACTCCATCTCAAATAAATAAATAAATAAATAAATAAATAAATAAATAAATAGTGAGCATCTTTCCATGTCAATAAACATTTTTCTTCAACATCCTTTAAAACAGTGACTTGGTTTTGCATTGTACAGATGAAACATAATTTTTCTTCTTGGTTTTGGACATTTTAGCTAATTGCAGGTTTTAGCTATTACCAACAATGCTGAAATTATCATCTTCATAGCTAGTATTTGCAACTCCCCTTGTTTATTTCCATGGATAAATTTTTCAGTGGGAAGTCGGTGGGTGGAAACCATCAGGGCTCCGGAGGCTGTCACGTTCCCCTCCAGCGAAGTTTCAATCCATTCACACCTCCGCCCACTGTGAATGAGACTGCACAGTTCCTTGTACCCTAATCTACCCTGTGCATTACCTCTTGGTTGGATGATGTATTTGTTTTAAAATCTTTGTCAAGGAAACTTGAAATATTTCCTAGCACATTCTCAGCAACACCCAGACTACTCAAAACTACCGAATCAGCTGCAGCCCTCATGCCACTGAGGGGATAACTTGCAGGCAACTCGGGGAATGTGTCACCTCCCTGCTGTACCCCACTTTTAACTCATTTTTTAATAGAAAAAAGGTCCCAAAAGGAGTTAGGGGCATGAGTATTGTGAGGGGCATTCCTGCTTGTAGAGATTTCCTCTCTTCTCCATGGTGAAGCAGATGTCCTCAAGTGAGAGGGAAGATATGAAGCTGTCACTTGTCTGAGCCCAGTGAGTGTATGAGATGACATTGAAAAGCAGAGAACTGAACTACAGCCGATGGACACTGACTGTATGTCCTGGTGTCAGGCATCCCACGGGGTGTCTCTCTGGGTCAGCCAATTATTTCTTCACAGATTCAGCAAACATTTATGGAATGTTTATTACATATGGCACTGTTGCTGTCCTCGAGTTTTTCAGGGACACAAATTTTGATCGTGCCACTCCCCTCTCTACCACCCTTCAGTGGCTCCCTAAAACCCTCTGGACAAAGCCCAAACTGTGCCCAAACCATCACGGCTCTGTGTGATTTTGCCTCTTCCCACGCTTACAGCCTCATAGGTATCACTTCCTCACTGGCCTCCAGGGCACCACCCTTTCTGAGGGCTTGAGTCTCTCATTTGTGCTGTTCTCTCTACCCCAAAGCAGTCAGCAGCTTTCCACCCAGTGAAATCCCACACATTGTTCCAGGCTCATCTTAAATGTCACTTTCTTAGAAAAAGGGTCCCTGACACCCTCTCAACCAAACTAGTTCTCCCCATACTTAGGCTCAACACCTTTGCACATCAGTACTTATCACATTAGGATTCAGCTCATCCAGGGTCTGTCTCCCCACAAGAACGTAAGCTCCAGGAGAGCGAGGGCCACACCCTCTTGTTCTGGACTGCATCCCATGGTCCAGCACAGAGTAGGGGATCTTAGCTCCTTGTTGAGTTAATGAATGAAAGAGAGGCGTGACATAACACCTCTATTTTCAAGTATTTAAGAGGTAAGAAGTCACAAACACCAAGATGAGCACTCCTATTTCTGTCTGGAGTAGGGTAAGAGGAAGCCTTCTGTGACCCCCGACCACACTTTTGGATAACCTTCAGTAAGAACGACCACCAGCATGTCCAGAAGATAAACTTCAAGGCATAACTAGTCTGCACACGGAATCATTATCCCTTGAATGTGTTGGAAGAATGTGAGTGCTGAGCTTGGAGAATCCAGCAGTGATGAAGTATTTAAGGGACTAGAGTTTTAGAGTCTTATAAAGAGTACTGATTAAAGGTCAAGACTTAGGCCGGGCTTGAGGGCGCACGCCTGGAATCCCAGCACCTTGGGAGGCCAAGGTGTGTGGATGACTTGAAGCTAGGGGTTCCAGACCAGCCTGGCCAACATGGTGAAACCCTGTCTCTACCAAAAAATACAAAAATTGTCTAGCTTGGTGGTGCATGCCTGTAGTCCCAGCTACTGGGGAGGCTGAGTTGGAAGGATGGCTTGAGCCCAGGAGGTGGAGGTTGCAGTGAGCCAAGATTGCACCACCGCACTACAGCCTGGGTGAGGAAGTGAGACCCTGTCTCACAAAAAAAAAAAAAAAAGGACTTACGAAAGTTACATGCTACTTTGTAGATTTTTTTTTCCAGTTAAATAGACAAATTATTGCTGTTCAGTAAAAAAAAAAAAAAACGATAATCTGAAAGGTTTATTATCTGAAACGATAATCTGAAAGGTTTATTGTCTTGTAGGTTTGTTATCTTGTAGGACTTTAACCAGTTTCATATTTAGCCTTGCAATCACACTCTAATATTCCTTAATTAAATTGCCTATACCTACCTAACACCTCAATGATCTCTTTTTAAAAAT